ACCTCGCCCGGCTAGTTTTTTTGTATTTTTTAGTAGAGACGGGGTTTCACCGTGATAGCCAGGATGGTCTCGATCTCCAGACCTCGTGATCCGCCCGTCTCGGCCTCCCAAAGTGCTGGGATTACAGGCTTGAGCCACCGCGCCCGGCCAGGGAATCTCAATAAGTCTGTTAGCAGACTTCTCATCAGAAACCCTGGAGGTCATCCATCTATCCTTCCACCCAGCCAGCCACCTCTCCACCCAGTCCTCAGCCATCCATCCATCCTTCTCCTCATCCATCCATCTATCCAGCCAGCCAATTTTTACCCACTTCTTCTATCCAGCAATTCACATTCCCATTCATTTATCTGCTTATAGCCATCCACCCAAATACCCATATAAACATATCCTTCCACATGTCATCTAACTGTTCACTAACACATTCATTCATTCATTCATTCATTCAACCAATAGTTACATAGCACCAATACTGTAGAGGGTTAAGGTCCGGAAATCTTAGGGAAACTTCTGGAGAGGTCTCAAGAGAAAGCTGGTGCAGGGAGGACTCTCTGATCCCCACTCCTTACCACAGTGTGCCAGCAGGTCTTGATGAAAGTCAAGCAAATCCTGTCGTATCTCTTCAGGGAGAGGACAGTCTTCCTCATCTGTACCATCTTTGAATTGCAATAGCATATTGATCTAGGGGAAGGTCAAAGGTTAGAATGAGGGTCTGAGATCCCAAAGCAGGAACTCTGAGATCAGAGAGAGAAGATGCAATTGTAAGTTCGTGTCTAAGGTCATGAGTCAAAGTGTGAGTTAACGAAGACTATTTGAGAGACCAGGGCCAGAGGTTTGAAAGGAGTCAGGGTCAGTCTGAGGCGACTCAGAGGTCAGGTTGGTTCACAGAGTAGGAGATAAATGTATCACTAGGGTCAGGGGTCAAGCATGGGTATAGAGGTTGAGGGTCCTCAGTGATCAGAGTTGGGAGATGTTGGGGTTGGGGTTTAGATAGTAAGAGTGGCCAGTGTCAGGGGTCAGATGACCTGCTCCTGGGGTGGGGAGCGGAACTCGCGGGTACGTCTTGCAGTCTCCGCTGCGGTCATGCTGAAGGCTTTCATGAGGAGGCCATAGCGGCTCCGCTGGTTGGCCTGGAGCTTGTCCACATAGCGCTCCGCAAAGGCTGCCAGGGACTCCACACGGTGCTGCAACTCTTGGTCACAGAAATATTCCAGCAGGTGGCACATCTGTGGAAGGACAGGCGTGCAGGAGGAGAAATGGAGGTGAGACCATCAGGACTTCCTTGAAACTTCTCTTTCTTCCTCTCCCCTCTCCATGGCCCTGCACAGGTCCAGCCAACATCATTTCCTGCCTGGAACCTTAAGCCTGCCTTCACCGGCCATGGCGGCTCACGCCTGTAATCCCAGCACTTTGGGAGGCCGAGGTGGGTGGATCACCTGAGGTCGGGAAATCAAGACCAGCCTGGCCAACAGGGTGAAACCCCGTTTCTACTAAAAATACAAAAATTTGCTGGGCGTGGTGGCGTGTGCCTGTGATCCCAGCTACTCAGGAGGCTGAGGAAGGAGAATCGCTTGAACCCGGGAGGTGGAGGTTACAGTGAGCCAAGACTGCACCACTGTATTCCAGCCTGGGCGACAGAGCAAAATTCTGTCTCAAAAAACAAACAAAAAAAGACTGCCTTCTCCATGTTCTCATCTCCATGGAAAACAGAGATCTTTCCACGTCAGCGTTGCTCACTGCCATATGCATTTCCACAGCTCCCCACTGCCTGAGGACGAAGTCCAGACTCACACCCCACCTACCCTGTGTCTCCCAGCCCAGATGGACAGAGGCTGAAAAGTAGGAAGCAGCAGCCCACCTGTAACTTCACAGACTCTGGCAACTTCATCTGGAGCAGCCCCTCCTCCAAGCCTTCTTCCTTCTCTCCTTCTGCTGCCTCCTCTTCCTCTTTTTCTTCATCTTCCTTTTCCTGTGCTGTTTCCTCCTCATCCTCCTCCTTCTCCTCCTCATCTTCCTCTTCCTCCTCTTCTTCCTCCTCCTCCTCCTCCTCTTCTTCCTCAGTGAAGACTTCAGGCTCAATCATCTTCAAGATCTGTTTCACATCCTCATCGCCAAAGATGCCCATCACCTACAGGACAAAGTCTCGGTTCTTCACTGTGGCCTGCGAGGCCTCCGTCATCAGGCCCTGGCCCCGCTCTCCAGACCTGCCCCTCTTGCACATGCCAATCATTCCTTCATTGGCTGATCGGATTCCTCCCACAGCAGGAATGGCATCCCCCCACCTTGCCATTCACCCTCCTTAAGATCCACCCAGCTCCTCAGCCTGTGTCCCATCCACACAGCCCAGACCACAGAGCCAAATACGAGTGCCTCTCCCATCACAGGTGAGTGTCCTTTCTCTCAAGCCTAAGCATGTGCCGTGTCCTCTGGCCCAGGACACACCCTACGCCTGCATAGCTCCCAGCATACACCAGCTCTCAGTCAACACAATGAAGATGCTAACACATGAGGTGAGGCTCACACCTGTAATCCCAGCACTTTGGGAGGCCAAGGCGGGCAGATCACTTGAGGCCAGGAGTTTGAGACCAGCCTGGCCAACATGGTGAAACCCTGTCTCTACAAAAATACAAAAAAAAATTAGCTGGTTGTAGTGGTGCATGCCTGTATTCCCAGCTAGTCAGGAGGCTGAGGCAGGAGAATCGCTTGAACCTGGGAGGCAGAGGTTGCACTGAGCTGAGATTATGCCACTGCACTCCAACCTGCATGGCAGAGGGAGAGTTTGTCTCCAAAAAATAATAATAATAATAAAGTTTAAAAGATGTTAACATACAGAAGTAAAGAGGAGTAGACGAAAGGGAAGAAGAGTGAGGGGGAGAGAGACAGATGGATGAATGGAGGGAGGACCGGATGGATGGCTGGATGAATCGAGAGTTGGAATGGTAGAGGTTTGAAGGAAAGATGAATAAGTGGATGATGATGGAGAGATGAAGGAAATGGTGGAGGAAGAGATGATGGGTGGATGGATGAGAGAAGGATAAAGGATGTATAGGTAGGTGGGTAGGTGATGGATGGGTTGATAGATGCATGAGGAAGTAAATAAATATGTGGATAAATAGATAAATTAGTGAATAGCCATGAGGGTAGTGGGGATGGTTGGTCACATGGCTGGATAGGTTCGTGTACGAAAAGTTGGGGCCAGGTGTGGCAGCTCACACCTGTAATCACAGTACTTCGGGAGGCTGAGGCAAGATGATCACTTGAACCCAGGAGTTTGAGACTGCAGTGGGCTACAATCATGTCACTGCATTCTAGCCTGGGCATGACCCTGTCTCTCACTAAATAAAATAAAATTAAAAATAATAAATAAAAACAAAATTAGGTTGAGCAGAGTGTCTTATGCCTGTAATCCCAACACTGGGAGGCCAAAGCGGGAGAATCGCTTGAGCCCAGGAGTTCAAGACCAGCTTGGGCAACATAGTGAGACTCCACCTCTACAAAAAATTTAAAAATTAGCTGGGCATGGTGGTGCACACCTGTAGTCCCAGGTATTCAGGAGGCTGAGGTAGAAGGATTGCTTAAGCCCAGGAGGTTGAGGTTATGGTGAGCCATTATTGTGCCATTGCACTCCAGCCTGGGTGACAGAGCGAGACCCTGTCTCAAAAACAAACACCTGGGCACAGTGGCTCACGCCTATAGTTACAGCACTTTAGGGGGATGAGGTGGGTGGATCATGAGGTCAGGAGTTCAAGACCAGCCTGGCCAACATGGTGAAACCCCACCTCTATTAAAAACACAAAAATTAGCCGGGCATGGTGACGGGCACCTGTAATCCCAGCTACTTGGGAGGCTGAGGCAGGAGAATTGCTTGAACACGAGAAGTAGAGGTTGCAGTGAGCTGAGATTGTGCCACTGCACTCTTCAGCCTGGGTGACAGAGCAAGACTTCATCTCAAAACAAACAAACAAAACCAAAAAGATGGATATATAAATGAATAGTTAGATGGGTATATGAATAAAAGGGCACATGATACAAGGGATGGACAGAAGGATAGGGAATGGTTAGATGGATGGGTGTGGATGTCTAAATGGATTTGTGGGTAGGTGGATGGGTGTACATACATATGAATGGAGAGCTGGAGGGATAGATGAAGGGTAGGTGGGAAACGGAGGAACGGATGGATCTGTGGATGTAGGTATGGATGGACGCATAGGTGGGAGGAGATTATTATTGGACCTATGGAAGGAAAGACAGATTAATACATAAATGAGTAGGTGGATAGACGAACAGATGGAATGGTGGATGGACTGCTGTATGAATGAATGAAAAGATGGATGGGCAAATAGATTGAAACTTGGATAGATGGGTACATGAATGAATGAATGGAGTGGTGGAGAAGAAAAGGATAGAAAGGCAGATGGACTTGTTGATGGAAAGATGATCTATACACATGAATGGATAGGATGAATGGGTGGATGGAAAGGCGGGTGGAGTACCGATGGATTGATGCATGGATGAATGATGGTTGGTTGGATAGATGAATAGGAAGAAAGAAGAGATGAATAAACATAAATAGATAACAGGTGAGCAGATGGAAGGAAAGGTGGATGAAGGATAGGAGATGGTGGAAGGATACATAGAAAGGTGGATGGAGGCCGAGCACGGTGGCTCAGGCCTGTAATCCCAGCACTTTGGGAGGCCAAGGTGGGCGAATCACGAGGTCAGGAGTTCGAGACCAGCCTGGCCAACATGGTGAAAGTCTCTACTAAAAATACAAATATTAGCCGGGCGTGGTGGCACATGCCTGTAGTCCCAGCTACTCTGGGGGCTGAGGCAGGAGAATTACTTGAACCCGGGAGGCAGGGGTTACAGTGAGCTGAGATTGTGCCACTGCACTCCAGCCTGGGCAACAAAGTGGGACTCTATCTCGAAATAAATAATAATAATAATAAAAAGAAAGGTGGATGGATGCATAGAGGAGGGAAGGAATGGGTGGTTGGATGCATAAATAGAGCAGGATTGATGCATGTATTTCTGGAGTTTTGGGAATGTGGAAGAAGAACGGGACAGAGGGAAGCAGGAGGAAGCCATTACCAGCAGGGTGGACACAAGCTTGAGCACAGGCACAAACTGGAACTCCACGGAGCCCCCGACGGGGTCGCGAGCGTGCTGCCCACCGTCGCGCACCGCCTCCCCCAGCATCCTCAGTGCCTTGTCCCGTAGGGCCTCCAACGGGATGGCGGGGCTGAGGCGGGCCGGAGCCTCTGCTGCCCCAGCAGCTGGCAGAGCCGCCACGAAACAGGGGGCCGAGAAATGATGCGGGGGCCGCAGCGAAGTGCTGACTCCAACTCCCGGCAGGCCGTGCCGGGAGTGACCATTTTCTGTGCTCCTTCCAGGAGGGAAGAGCGTGATGGCGCGGGTCTCAGGCGTGAGGGGCACGATGTATTCAGAGAGCATGGAGCGGCGGCTGCGACAGGCACTTTCGAGATGGATGCTGATGAGGAGGTCGTAGTAGCCTGCACGCAGTGGACCTGGCAGGTGCGCGTCCTCCAGGGCGTGCAGCAGCTGAGCCTGGTCCACGTGGCTGCACAGAGCGTGCGCCACGCGATTGTTGCCCAGGGCGCACACAGCGCGGTAGAGGCGCAGGGTGTGCGAGTGGAAGCGCTGCAGGTCCAGGCGCTCCGACAGCTCCAGGATGTCCATGCATCTGCAGCAGAGGTGGGAAACAGACAGGGACAGATGAATGAGCCTCCTGCATCCGTCGAGCCACTATCTCTTCCTCCATTTCCTTCATCATTACCCACCCATTCATTCATCCATCCATCTCTCCTTCAAACCCCTATCATTCCATCTATCAATTCACCCATCCTGGGAGATGGGAGACAGAGACACAGACCCCAGAGAGGCAGAGATGCTTAGATGAGTGTCAAAGGCTGCAGCAGGGAGTTCCAGTGGCTTCCCAGCTTAGGGTTCTGTGAGGGCAGTGGAGCTGGGTCTAGGAGTCTTTCAATGGTTCTGGAAGTCCCTAAGGGACCTGGGAGCCCCTGGGATAACTCTGGGGTCCCTGGGATGATCTGGGACTTTGTAAGAGTCTCAGCGTCCACGTAGAACATCTAATGTTCCCAAGATGTGTTTGGGCCCCCAGATTGGGTTTGAATCCCACTCTGGCAGGTCTGAGTACACTGGTTGTGTTTGATTGCCATTAGAATGTAAATTCCAAGGGCAGGACATTTCTGCCTGTTTTGTTTCTGCTTTTATTTGTTGTGTTCCCAGCACCTACAACCACACCTAGCACATAGTAAAGTGCTCGGCATTTTTGTTGTTGTTGTTGTTGTTGTTTTTTAGTGATGGGGTCTTGCTCTGTTGTCCAGACTAGACTGCAGTGGTGTGATCCTAGCTCTGCAGCCTTGAACTCCTGGGCTTAAGCAATCCTCCTGCCTCAGCCTCCCAAGTAACTGAGACTACATGTGCGTGCCACCAAGCCAAGCTAATTAAAAAGAAAAAAAAAATGTGGGGATGGGTTCTCACTATGCTTCCTGGTGGTTTCAAACCCCTGGCCTCAAGCAACCCTCCCTCCTCCTCAGCCTCCTGAAGTGCTCAGATTACAAGCATGAGCCACTGTGCCCATAAATCTTTGTTGAATGAATAAATAAATGGGTGTGTCTGGGGCCCTGGGGATGACCCTGGGTCCCTTTGGACATGTCTGAGCATCCTGAGTTATGTACAAGCAATACTAGAATGTCACTTCACAGGGGCTTGGTGTCTCCAGCCTAGAATACTGCCCAGCACATAGGAGGAACCCAGAGCTATTTGAGGAAGGAAGGAAGGAAGGAAGGAAGGAAGGAAGGAAGGAAGGAAGGAAGGAGGAGGAGGAGGGAGGGAGGGAGGGAGGGAGGGAGGGAAGGAAGGAAGGAAGGAAGTCAGAAACTTCCTGGTTGAGTCTGGGATCGCTCCCATGTTCAGAGTTCTATTTTTTGAGACGACGTCTTGCTCTGTTGCCCAGGCTGAAGTGCAGTGGCGCGATCTCGGCTCACTGCAACCTCCGCCTCCTGGGTTCAAGCAAATCTCATGCCTCAGCCTCCCGAGTAGCTGGGATTACAGGTAGACACCACCACAACCAGCTCATTTTTGTATTTTTAGTAGCGACTCTTGACCTTAGGTCATCTGCCTGCCTTAGCCTCCCAAAGTGCTGGGATTACAGGCGTGAGCCACCACGCCTGGCCATTTTCAGAGTTCCTAAGAGTAACCCTGCCATCCATGTGAATGCGTCTGTGGCCCTAGGTGTGTCTGGATCTTCTGGGATGGGTTTGAGATCTCCATGGGATTCTTAGTCTCCCTGGGTATGCCCAAGAGACTCTAGGGTGCATCCGAGCCTCCCTGAACCATGTCCAGGGATCCTAGGGTGTACTTGGGGCCCCCTGGGGTGTTGCTGTGGGTCTGGCTCCCTGAGATGGGTGTGGGGCCCTGTGGAGTGGCTCTGGGCCCCTGGGGTATTGTCTGGGGTCCCTTAGGGTGGGCCTGCGGTCCACTGGGATGGCCTAGAGGCTCCTGAGTTGAGTCTGAATCCCCCTGGGGTGTGTAATCTGGGGACGTCTGAGCTGAGCCCGAGTCCCCTGAGGTAGGTCTGGAGATTCCCGGGGTGTTGCCTGGAATCCCAGGGTTGTGTTGAGGAGGGGCACTGAGTCAGACCCAGACCCCAGAGGGCTTGCAACACCTGCCCACCCCTGCATAGCTGGGCTGGCCCTGACCGGTTCTCCTCGGGGATGTGCAGCGCCATCATGGTCAGCGGCTCCCGGCACTGCACGGCCCAGCCCAGCCGCTCGCCGGCGCGCCTCGTCTCCACCTGCAGGAAGTGGTTGGGCATGCGGCTCCAGGACACTGGCATCAGCATCTGCATCTCCAGCCGCGGCGGGCACTGCGGGGCCGGGTTCTTGCGCTCGCTCTGGAACATGGCAGCTGACAACGGCATGATGTTCTGAGCACAGAGAGACACGCATGGGTCAAGATGGCCAGCCCCTTGTGTCCCACCACACCACTTCCAGGGAGACCTCTTGGATTGCCCCCTCCCTTCAGTGACTCTGCCTGCCTCGCCTCCCCACACTTCCTGCCTCAGCCTGCCCCCATTAGCGCCCCCATCACGGCACTTGTACCTTCTGCTTCCCCAGCTCAAACTGGATGACGTTCTGGTGGGTGGGCAGGACGAAGACAGCAGGAAATAGCTTTGTGTTGGGTTCCACCTGGCAGGGGAGAAGAGGAAAGGTGAGGAAACAGGTGGGCTGAAGGGAGGGTTGGCTCTGGACCTCAAACTCTGGGGCCTATTTGCGGGTCCTCATCTGAGCGTTAGAGGCTCCAAAATGGCTCAGAGGTCACCCTTAAACTGTCCCACCTCTGATCCAGCCAGGCCAACCTCCTCCAACTCTCCCAGGGCAACCTATCATCTGTCTCTGCACACATCACACCCCACACTGGGAATGCCTTTCCCATTTCTCTCCCAAGCATACTCATTCTTCAAAACCCAGAGAGTGCGGTGGCTCACACCCGTAATCCTAGAATTTTGGGAGGCTGAAGTGGGAGGGTCACTTGAGCCTAAGAGTTCAAGAGCAGCCTGGGCAACATAGTGAGACCCCATCTCTACAAAAAAATAAAAAATTAGCCGGGTGTGGTGGTCCATATCTGTAGTTGCAGCTGCTCAGGAGGCTAAGATGAATCACTTGAGCCTGGGAGGTCGAGGCTAGAGTAAGCCATGATTACACCACTGCACTTCAGCCTGGGTAACAGAACAAGTCCCTATCTCAAACCAAAAATTAAAACAAAGAATTCCAGGAAGTGTCCTCAGACTGTCTTGCCCCGCTCCCATCTTTCCAGTGGAGCCCGTCTAGCCAGCTTCCGCCTCCACAAACAACACTGTCTCTGAAGCAGTCTTGTCCGCCAAACCTGATCTAATTGCACCCTGGGACCCAACTCCCAGTTTACAGGAAATACAGGGGACAAAGGAAAATGTTAAAACGCCACCACAGGAATGCACCGCCAGATCCAGGCTATGGGAAACCAGGCCAGCCCTCTCCAGATTTAATATGCACAGGAAGCCCCTGGGATCCTGTCAAAATGCAGATTCTGATTTGGTAGGCATGGGAAGGGGCCTGAGACTCTGCATTTATTTAATTTTAATTTTTTTTTTTTTGAGATGAAGTCTCACTCTGTCACCCAGGCTGGAGTGCAGTGGTGCAATCTTGGCTTGCTGCAACCTCCACCTCCCGTGTTCAAGCGATGCTCCTGTCTCAGCCTCCCAAGTAGCTGGGATTACAGGTGCCTGCTACCACGCCAGGCTAATTTTTGTATTTTTAGTAGAGATGGGGTTTCACCATGTTGGCCAGGCTGGTCTCGAACTCCTGACCTCAGGCGATCTGCCTGCCTCGGCCTCCCAAAGTGCTGGGATTACAGGTGTGAGCCACCACGCCTGGCCCATTTTAATTTTTTTAAAAGAAGCAGGGCCGGGCGCGGTGGCTCAAGCCTGTAATCCCAGCACTTTGGGAGGCCGAGACGGGCGGATCACAAGGTCAGGAGATCGAGACCATCCTGGCTAACCCCGTGAAACCCCGTCTCTACTAAAAAATACAAAAAACTAGCCGGGCGAGGTGGCGGGCGCCTGCAGTCCCAGCTACTAGGGAGGCTGAGGCAGGAGAATGGCGTAAACCTGGGAGGCGGAGCTTGCAGTGAGCTGAGATCCGGCCACTGCACTCCAGCCTGGGTGACAGAGCGAAACTCCGTCTCAAAAAAAATAAAATAAAATAAAAGAAGCAGGGTCTTGCTCTGTCAACCAGGCTGCAGTGCAGTGGCGCGATCATAGCTCACTACAACCTCTGCCTCCCAGACACAAGTGATCCTCCTGCCTCAGCCTCCTCCAGAGTAGCTGGAACTGCAGGTGCCCACCACTAGGCCCAGCTAAAGGTCCTGCAGCTCTGACAAGCTCCCAGGTGATGCCGACCCTGCTGGTTGGTCCAGGGACCACACTTTGAGGAGCAAAGCACTACAGGACAAATAGCCTGGTTCTTTCAACAAATATATTTCTAGGGGAAAAAAATGAGAAAGAAGAAGTGGAGGGGGAAATCTACATATGAAATGAAACTCAAGGTACACAGCAACCAGCTAAAATATATGACCCTGGGTCAAGTATGGTGGTGCATGCCTGTAATCCCAGCACGGGATTATATGCTGGGATTACATGGGAGGTGGAGGTGGGCAAATTGTTTGAGGTCAGGAGTTCAAGACCAGCCTGGGCAACGTGGCAAAACACCATCTCTACAAAAAAGAGAAAAATTAGCCAGGTGTGGTGGTGCGCGTCTGTGCTCCCAGCTACTTGGTAGGCTGAGGTGGGAGGATCATTTGATCGCAGGAGGTTGAGGCTGCAGTGAACCAAGATTACACCACTGTGCACCAGCCTGGGTGACAGAGCGAGACTCTGTCTTAATAAATTAAAATAAATAAATACAGGTTGAGTATGGTTGGCACCACTGCACACCAGCCTGGGTGACAGGGCGAGACTCTGTCTTAATAAATTAAGATAAATAAATAAATAAATAAATAAGGTTTGAGTACGCTTGGCACCACTGTGCACCAGAGTGGGTGACAGAGCGAGACTCTGTCTAATAAACTGAGATAAATAAATAAATAAATAAATAAATAAGGTTGAGTAAGGTTGGCACCACTGTGCACCAGCCTGGGTGACAGAGTGAGACTCTGTCTTAATAAATTAAGATAGGCCGGGCGCGGTGGCTCACGCCTGTAATCCCAGCACTTTGGAAGGCCGAGGCGGGCGGATCACAAGGTCAGGAGATCGAGACCATGGTGAAACCCCGTCTCTACTAAAAATAGAAAAAATTAGCCGGGCGCAGTGGCGGGCGCCTGTAGTCCCAGCTACTCGGGAGGCTGAGGCCGGAGAATGGCGTAAACCCGGGAGGCGGAGCTTGCAGTGAGCCGAGATTGCACCACTGCACTCCAGCCTGGGCGACAGAGCGAGACTCCGTCTCAAAAAAAAATTAATTAAAATAAATAAATAAATAAAGGTTGAGTACGGTTGGCACCACTGTGCACCAGCCTGGGTGACAGAGTGAGACTCCGTCTTAATAAATTAAATAATTAAATAAATAAGGTTGAGCACGCTGGCTTACACTGTAATCCCAGCACTTTGGGAGGCCAAGGCGGGAGGGTCACTTGAGCCCAGGAGTTCAAGACCAGACTGGGGAATATAGCCGGACCCCGTCTCTACTAAAAATATAAAAATTAGCCGGGTGTGGTGGCGCACGCCTGTAATCCCACCTACTTAGGAGGCTTGAGCTTAAGAGGTGAGGGCTGCCATGAGCCAAGACCACGCCACTGCACTCCAGACTGGGTGACAGACAGAGTGAGACATTGTCTCAAAAAATAAGAATAAAAATAAATAGTAAATAAAATAGAATATATGACCCTATTTAGCTTCTGATTCAAACAAAGAAATGGTAAAAATTTCTTTTTGGGACGGCCAATTTTTGGGACAGCCAAAGAAATCTGAACACAAACTGGATATTTGATGATATTTAGAAACCATTGTTTTTTTTTTCTTTTAGGTGATAGTGTTATGTGGTTATGCTCTTTAAGATCATCCTTATCTTTTAAAGATACATACTGAAAAGAGATGAAACTATCTGATGTCTGCAATTTCCTTCAAAATTATCTAGTGGGTGTGGAAAGGAGGTAGATATAAAAAGATGAAACAAGTCAGGCGCAGTGGCTCATACCTGTCATCCCAGCACTTTGGGAGGCTGAGGCAGGAGGACTGCTTGAGCTCAAGAGTTCGAAACCAGCCTGGGCAACATAGCAAGATCCTGTCTCCACTAAAACTAAAAGAATTAGCTAGGCAGGGTGGTGCACACCTGTAGTCTCAGCTACTCAGGAGGCTGAGGTGGGAGGATCACTGAACCTGGGAGGCAGAGGTTGCAGTGAGCCGAGATTGTGCCACTGCACTCCAGCCTGGGTAACAGAGGGAGACCCTCTCTCAAAAAACAAACAAACAAACACAAAAGATGAAACAAGATTGGCTGTGAGTGGGTGACAGTTGAAGCTGTATGACGGGGCATGGCAGTTTGTTATACTATTCCATTCTTGCATATGTTTTTAATTCTTCATTTAACATAAAGTTTTAGCTAGGAGTGGTGGCTCACACCTGCAATCCCAGCACTTTGGGAGGCTGAGGCAGAAGGATTGCTTGAGACCAGGAGTTTGAGACCAGCCTGGGCAACATAGTGAGACCCCGTCTCCACCATAAATACAAAAAAAAAATTAGCTGGGCGTGGTGGCACGTGCCTGTGTTCCCAGCTGTTCAGGAGGCCGAAGTGGGAGGATTGCTTGAGCCCAGGAAGATCAAGGCTGCAGTGACTATGATCTCACCATGACACTCCAGCCTGGGTAACAGAGCAAAACCCTGTCTCAAAAAATAAAAATAAAAAATAAGCCAGGCACAGTGACTCACGCCTGTAATCCCAGCACTTTGCGAGGCCAAGGTGGGGAGATCACTTGAGCCCGGGAGTCAGAGACCAGCCTGGGCAATATGGGGAAAACCCACTTCTACAAAAAATACACACACACAAAAAATTAGCTAGTCAAGGTGGTGCAACCCTATAGTCCCAGCTACTTAGGAGGCTGAGATAGAAGGATTGCTTGAGCCTGGGAAGTTAAGGCCGCAGTCAGCTGTGATCACACCACTGTACTCCAGCCCGGGGGACAGAGTGAGGCCCTGTCTCAAAATAAATAAAATAAAATGCAATAAAATTTCATAGCCAACAATGGATGCCAAAAAATTAAAATAAAGTTGTATAAACCCACCTTAGATAAATTAATGGATAGGTAGCTTAATATGTGATAAGGCCAATATCTGCAAAGTTGATAGCAGATTCCTGGGGGTGGGTACAGGGTGTTATCTATATAGTTCCTTCAATTTTGCTGTATAGTTGAAAATTTTCAGAATAAAATTTTGAAAAGGAAAAGGCCACCTTAGGATTCTGGCCCATCCTAGCGTGTTCCCTGGTTGGAGAGAAGTCGGTGACTGGTGTCACCCAGCCCAAGAGGAAATAGAGACCTCTTTGCAAGGTCAAGGCTGGACTCCGGCTGAGTGTGGTGGCTCATGTCTGTAATCCCAGCACTTTGGGAGGCCAAGGTGGGTGGATCACTTGAGGTCAGGAGTTTGAGACCAGCCTGGCCAACATAGCGAAACCTCATCTCTACTAAAAATATAAAACTTAGCCGGCTGTTGTGGTGCACTCCTGTAATCCCAGCTACTTTGGAGGCTGAGGCAGGAGAATCCTTCTAACCCAGGAGGCAAAGGTTGCGATAAGCCAGGATCATGCCATTTGCACTCCAGTCTGGGCAACAGAGTGAGATTCTGTATCTCCTCCAGTCTGGACCTTAGCTTCATGGAAGTTTCAACAAGGTGGTCTCCCAGCGACCTCTTGAGGACAGCCTAGGAGCTCTTTTTGTTTCATCTCTCTGAGGTCTGTCCTCAGGGGACATCTGTAAGGGCTGTCCTGGGATGCTGGGACATGAGGATGCTCTCACTAAGTTGCTGTGATCTGGACTCACCTGGAAAAAGGTGTTGCTCTCTTTGCCATTGGCTGTAAAGGTCATTAAGCCAGTGGCCAAGTCCACCAGGCACCCAATGACAAGATCCGTGTGGCTGATCCGGCCCTGCTGCCCGGGACTCACAAAGTCCCCACCCCACACCATGTAGCAATTGCTGCACTTGAGGCTGCAGGAGACAGAAGCGGTCACTGCACTCCTCATCTGAGTAGCTCTGGACCCTGGACACCCCCTTCCCCAAGCTCCCGGAAACACACAACCTCAGAGTCCCATCCCCAAGCACCCGCCCCCTGCAGACCTGAGCACTGAAACCCCTCGCCCCAGACACTGAGCTCTTCGGAGCTGGGATTCCTAGCAGCTGGTGTGGCGGGGAGTCAGGCTAGGGGTGGGGGTCTGAAAGGAGGAAAAGGAAAGGAAGCAGGAGGAGAGAGAATGAGATTACAGAGAATGAGAAGGGTGAGATGTAAGAGGATGAGAAGGAAAAGGAGAAAATGGAATAGGAGAAATGGAGAAAGAGGAGGAGGAGGAGAAGAAAAATACCAGGGCAGGAAGAGAAGAGAAAAAAGAGAAGGAGGGAAGCTTCCAAGCTGGGTGCCCAGTGCCCCAGAGCATCCTCCTGCTCCAGAAGGTTCCCAGGTCCCACAACCAGGCAGCCACAGAGCTGGTGTCGGGAGCACCCACTGCCTCCTGCCCTCCCCACCCTGCACCACCCACCTCCCCGCAGCCCCAGCACCTGCTGTGGATGTTGCCTTGTTCATCCCCCATGGTCACTGTCACAACCCGGACCTTGCTGAGGTCGAAGCTCATGTCGTGCTGATGGTAGTCAGGAGTGACCCAGCCCACCCACACGCAGCTGGGCTCCTGTCCGGCAAAGACCCTCACGGAGTAATAGTACTGGGGACACAGGAGGGGAACCAGTGGTCAGTCTGGAAGTCTGGGAACTCAGGCTCCCTGGGACTTGAAATTAGTTTCCCTGGACCGTTGGGTCCTCTGGGAATTTAACAGGAATTTGTTGAATCTGAGACCCCCACCCCCTGGTTATGTCTGTTTCTGTGTCAATTTGTGCAATTCTATATTTAGGAGTCCCTTGGGAATATTGTGTGACAACGCCATGTTTGGGTTCCTCCCAGGTTACAGCAGACTGACAAATAAATAATGGCAGGCCGGGCGCGGTGGCTCATGCCTGTAATCCCAGCACTTTGAGAGGCTGAGGCAGGTGGATCACCTAAGGTCAGGAGTTTGAGACCAGCCTGACCAATATGGTGAAACCCTATCTCTACTGAAAGTACAAAAATTAGCCAGGCGTGGTGGCGGGCGCCTGTAGTACCAGCTACTCGGGAGGCTGAGGCAGGATTGCAGTGAGCTGAGACCGCACCACTGCACTCCAGCCTGGGTGACAGAGCGAGACGCCATCTCAAAATAAATAGATACAAAAAATAATCAAATAATTGCTCACAAATAGCACCAACTGTGCTAAGGTCTTTTTTTTCTTTCCTTCTTTTTTTTTTTTTTTTTTCCTGAGTTGCGATCTCCCTCTGTCACCCAGACTGGAGTGCAGAGGCACCACCATAGCTCACTGCAGCCTCAAATTCCTGGATTTAAGTGATCCTCTCACCTTGGCCTCCCAACATTCTGGGACTACGGGTGAGAGCCACAGTGCCAGGCCTGTTCTTCTAAGGTCTTTACACAGATGAACTCACTTCATCCTCCATATCAGGTAGGTATAATTTTTACCCCCATTCTACTGATGGGAAACCATAGCACCTCCATAGGACAGAAGGCAAAGAGTGGTGAAATGACTTGCCCAAGTGGCACCCAGGCGGCCCACGATCCTAACCTCGAGGCCAGGGATCCCCAAACCCAGGCTGTGGACTGGTACCAGGATCCAAGCCACCTAGGGTGAGCACTCCTTGTAAGAATCTACAGCTGGGAGCGGTGGCTCATGCCTGTAATCCCAGCACTTTGGGAGTCCGAGGCAGGAGGATCATTTGAGGCTGGGGATTCGAGACCAACCTGGCCAACATGGTGAAACCCCGTTTCTACTAAAAATACAAAAATTAGGCCATGCACGGTGATTCATGCCTGTAATCCCAGCACTTTGGGAGGCAAGGCAGACAGATCACGAGGTCAGGAGTTCGAGACCAGCCTGGCCAATATGGTAAAACCCCGTTTCTATTAAAAATACAAAAATTAGCCAGGCATGGTGGCGTGTGCCTATAGTCTCAGCTACTCGGGAGGCTGAGGCAGAAGAATCGCTCGAAGCCGGGAGGCAGAGGTTGCAGTGAGCCAAGATCGCGCCACCGCACTCCAGCCTGGGCGACAGACTGAGACTCCATCTCAAAAAAACAAAAAACAAAAATCAGCTGGGCATGGTGGTAGGAGCCTGTTATCCCAGCTGCTCAGGAGGCTGAGGCAGGAGAATCGTTTGAACCCAGGAGGCAGAGGTTGCAATGAGCCGAGATCGTGCCACTGCACTCTAGATTGGGCAACAGAGCAACACTCCATCTTAAAAAAAAAAAAAAAAAAGAAAGAAAAAAAAACCAAAACAGAATCTATGCCTGATGATCCAAGATGGAACATTTCATCCTGAAACCATCCCTCCCCACATCCCCACATCCCCACATCCCTGGTCCATGGAAAAACTGTCTTCCATAGAATTGGTCCCTGGTGCCAAAATAGTTGGGGAGCACTGCATTAGGCTGTCTGTCTATGAAATATTTTGGATTTGGGGAATCCCAAAACTATATTAATTATGAATTTTTGTTCCCAGTAATATATTAGAGTAGGTATTACATTGAAGGTACTGTGTTTATATGGGTGAGCCCAAATGTTGGGGTCCCTAGTCTGTAATGGCTTATGCCCTGGCTTTGGGGATCCCTGGGAGTTATATCAGTGTGCTGTGCACCTCTACTGTACCCCCTGCCATTTGTGGGCCAGTAGCTATATGGACTTAGGGGTTCAAAGGATTAAATCCGTGTGTGCCATATTTTGTGAGTTTCTAGTGTATATTGGGGAGTCCCCAGTGTAAGGTGGGCAGTTACTGGGGACTGTCACACTAAACTTGGAAATTCAGGAGTGCCTATGCTATGCGGGGGGACCCCAAAATTGAGGGTTCCTGATCCACACCGTGGTGGTGTTGAGGATGATCTCAGGGTCATCGCGGTTGTCTGCAGGCACCACATCGTGAGGGAGCCGAGGCAGCGTGGGGGTGGCCGGTGGTTGGGTCATCATGGCGACCTTCTTGGCCTTGAATAAGAAGCTGGTGGTGGGAGGAGAGGCGCCATAAGAACCAGCTTTCAAGCCCAGCCCTCCCACTGCAACATTCATGCCCCCCACATCCGGCTTGGATACACCCTGCTTCTAATACCCCAGGTATGGCCTCTAGAAGGCTGGCTTCCCACCTACCCCAGCCTAATCTGTTCTGGAAGTGTTGTGCTCTGCGCTTGTGGATGCTGAGTTACCCAAATTAAAGGTGCCTTCTGGGAATATGGAGGTCCCCACTGGGGCATATGGGGGTCCCCCTAAGTCAGCATTTCCCACATGCATTTCTCAGATGGGTGCTAAATGCACTTGGAAAAGGATAAGTCTTCATTGTGCGGCACTGTTTTGTACACTGCAAGGTAGGTGGAACCCCGGGGCCTCCGCCGAGCAGCAGCAGCCCCTCCCAAACTGTAATGACCACAAAGACTCCATCATTTCTAAATATCCACCAAGAGACACAATGGGTTTTCAATTCCATTGAAAACCACTGCTATTGTACGTATCACCTGAGGTCAGGAGTTCGAGATCAGCCTGGCCAACATGGTGAAACCGTCTCTACTAAAAATACAAAAATTAGCCAGGCATGGTTGCACATGCCTGGAATCCCAGATACTCAGGAAGCTGGGGCAGGAGAATTGCTTGAACCCAGGAGGCGGAGATTGCAGAGAGCCGAGATTGTGCCACTGCACTCCAGCCTGGGCAACAGAGCGAGACTCCGTCTCAAAAAAAAAAAAAAAAGGAGCCAGGCATGGTGTCTCACGCCTGTAATCCCAGCACTTTGGGAGGCTGAGGTGGGTGGATCACCTGAGATCAGGAGTTTGAGACCAGCCTGGCCAATATGGCAAAACCCCGTCTCTACTAAAAATACAAAAATTAGCCAGGCATGGTGGCGCATGCCTGTAATCCCAGCTACTCAGGAGGCTAAGCCGGAGAATCACTTGAACCCGGGAGGCAGAGATTGCAGGGAGCTGAGATTGCACCATTGCACTCCAGTCTGGCAACAGAGACTGACTCCATCTCAAAAGAAAAAAAAAAATAAAAGCAAAACAGGAAAACCACTGCCATTGTAGGGAAAAAGCAGATTTAGTACCTTCTCAGAGTCTCCCTTTAAGTTAGCTTTTGGGGGGTACATTTGCAACACAGAAAGGATCCCCATTTAGAAGACCACTGGGTGTTCACTGGGATGCCTTAGGGTGCAGTAAACTCTCCTAGAGAGATACTGAAGTCCCTTTTAGTGTCCACGGATGATAAGGTCCATTGGGCGAAGCCCTTTGGGGCCCTCCAAGTACTGAAGGATAATAGAGCTCTCCATACAGATAGTAGGGTACCCAATTATATATCCTTGGGGACATTAGGACATCCCGGGAAAAAATGGGGTTCACTGGAGACATGATAGGATTCATCCATGTATTTATCAAGAATACAAGGAGTATTCTTACTCCACTTAGCATATATGGGGCTACTTTGGGGTACAATGGGGGTTTCTCAGGTTACTGTGGCTGCCAACTTAGGGGGTACCAAGGCAGCCCCCAATCCCCACTCTGGGCCCCCTCGACTCACCCTCTCTTCTTGTTCTTCTCGGTGGTGGCGTCCTTCTCATTCTCAGCCCTGGCGGGCTGTGCCTCTCCCCCCGCCTGCGGGGTGCCCCCGGGGGCGCCCTCCTTCGCAGTCCCTTCTTTGCCGTTCTCGGCCTCGCCCCAGCCCCCAGCTGAGCGGCGCAGGTTTTCGTAGTCAGGGTCGGGTTCCGCCGCCCGGGCCTCGTCCTCGGCGGGGGGCTGCAGGCCGGGGGGTGCCAGCGGGGTGGCCCCTGCGGTGCAGCGGAAGTGCTGGTGGAACTGGACTGGGAGGCTCAGTCGCAGGAAGAGCATCTCCACCAGGCTGTTCTGGGAGCCCCAGGTGCGGTGAGTCAGACGCAGACACGGGGGCGTGTCCACAGTGCCGTCCACTCGGGCTACCTGGGGTGGCAGGGAATGGAGCACTGAGCTGGGCAGGTGGGCTAGGCCAGGCCGTTGGTCCCACACCTGGTCACCCACAGAGCCACCATTAGGCCATAGAGCACTCGTGTGGGAATTAGTCAAGGGCGCCCCCTCCTGCAGGCGGATGAAGCTCCCGGCCGGGTACACCGCTGGGCCCGGGGGTGCTTGCAGCCTTTCTTTGGGCATCGTGTACAGTGACAGCCCTGGACACACACTGGAATCAATTGGGGTAACTTCCAAAACCTACCTACATCCATCCAACCATCCATTCTGTCATTCTGTAACCCGGCAGCTCAACTTCAATGAATTTTTTTTTTTTTTTTTTTTTTTGAGATAGTCTTGCTCTGTAGCCCAGGCTGGAGTGCAGTAGCAGGATCTCCACTCACTGCAACCTCCACCTACAGGGTTCAAATGATTCTCTTGTCTCAGCTTCCTGAAAATTTGCCCCAAAACTGTGCGTACAAGATTCTTTGTTCTCAGACTTCTTTTTTTTTTTTTCTTGAGACAGACTCTCACTCTGTTACCTAGGCTGGAGTGCAATCGTACGATCTTGGCTTACTGCAACTTCTGCCTCCTGGGTTCAAGCACGAGCCAACATGCCTGGCTAATTTTTGTATTTTTGGTAGAGACAGGGTTTCACCATGTTGCCTAGGCTGGTCTTGACCTCCTGAGCTCATGTGATCTGCCTGCCTCAGTCTCCCAAAGTGTTAGGATTACAGGCGTGAACCACCACCCCCAGCCAAGTTTCCCCTTTTTAAACCCTTGCTTTCCCCCACAGATTTGAAGTGGTTGCTTTGGATGGGAATCCAGTCACTTCTCCATGACTAGTTTTGGTGAATAAAGTCATTCTCTTTCTATCAGACCTTGATCTTGTTAACCAGACTCTGTAACTGATGAGCAACTGAACCTGTGTTCAGTTACAATTCCACGAACAGCGGCCGGGCGCAGTGGCTCATGCCTGTAATCCCAGCACTTTGGGAGGCTGAGGCGGGCTGATCACCTGAGGTCAGGAGTTTGAGACCAGCCTGGCCAACATGGTGAAACCTCGTCTCTACTAAAAATACAAAAAATTAGCCAGGCGTGCTGGCGCGTGCCTATAATTCCAGCTACTAAGGAGGCTGAGGCAAAAGAATCGCTTGAATCAGGGAGGTGGAGGTTGCGGGGAGCTGAGATCTTGCCACTGGCCTCCAGCCTGGGTGACAGAGTGAGACCCTGTCTCAAAAAACAAAAAACAAAAACAATGGACTCTCGAAAGTCTTCTAGAGACTCGGTAAACAATGACAGCTGTTCTCTTTTGGGCCGGGCGCCGTGGCTCACGCCTGTAATCCCAGCACTTCGGGAGGCCGAGGCAGGTGGATCACGAGGTCAGGAGATCGAGACCATCCTGGCTAACACGGTGAAACCCTGTCTGTACTAAAAAAGTACAAAAAATTAGCTGGGTGTGGTGGCAGGCGTCTATAGTCCCAGCTACTCCGGAGGCTGAGGCAGGAGAATGGCGTGAACCCGGGAGGCGGAGCTTGCAGTGAGCCGAGCCTGGGTGACAGAGCGAGATTTAGTCTCAAAAAAAAAAAAAGTTGTTCTCTTTCATGCCCCTCCTCAGGTTAACCTCTCCAAGGACCAGTTGCCAAGATGAACCTAGGTACTCCTTTCCAGCCAATGAATTTGCCCCAAAACTATGCATACAAGATTCTTTGTTCTCAGAATCTTTTTTTTTTTTTTTCTTGAGACTGAGTTTTGCTCTGTCACCCAGGCTGGAGTGCAATGGTGCAATCTTGGCTCACTGCAACCTCTGCCTCCTGGGTTCAAGCGATTCTCCTGCCTCAGCCTCCCGAGTAACTGGGATTATACGTGCCCGGCACCATGCCTGGTTAATTTTTTGTATTTTTAGAAGAGATGGGGTTTCACCATGTTGGCCAGGCTGGTGTCAAATTCCTGACCTCAGGTGATCCACCCACGTCAGCCTCCCAAAGTGCTGGGATTACAGGCATGAGCCACCGAGCCCCGCCTGTTCTCAGACTCCCTATTTAGGGGTTTCTTTTCTATCCTCTTTCTCCCCTCTGTCTTATAAATCTGGTTTCTGCCTTCACTCTTTTTTTCTTAGAGACAGGTCTTGCTCTGTCACCTGGGCTGGAATGTACTGGTGCAACCACGGTTCACTGCAGCCTCGAAATCCTGAGCTCAAACAATCCTCACACTTCAGCCTCCCAAGTAGCTGGGACCACAGGCACATACCACCATGCCCGAATAATTTTGTTTATTCTGTGTAGAGACAGGGTTTTGCTATGTTGCCCAGGCTGGTCTTGAATTCCCAGGCTCAAGTGATCCTCCCACCTTGGCCTCCCAAAGTGCTGAGATTATAGGCGTGAGCCACCGCATCCAAGCAGCCTTTGCTCTTTAGCGACAGTCTACTGACTGATCTCCCTCCTGTGATTTGCATTCAAAGTAACTAACAATGTCTCTGAGTTATTCTTTCATAGTAACCAATTTCCCAACTTAGCACACCACAGATCCGCTCTGCCTGTTCTTGAACTTTCTGTGAATGGAATCCCACAGCCTGTGCTGTCTTGTCTCTGGCTTGTTCTACTTGACATTATGTCTGAGATTCGTCCACATGGCTGTGTGTATTTCCATGTATTCATTCTCACTGCTGTGTAGCATGCTGTGCCTTGGGCTGGGGACATCTGGTAGTGGCAGGTGTCAGGAACTCCGCATCCACTCCGCAGTACTGCCCCGTCCCAGCCACCTCTAAGGTCCTTCTGACTGCACTCTCACCTCCTACAATCCACTGCCAATAGGGACCTTTCCAAAACTCAGACCTCAACTGGACGTTCCCATACTTAAAACTCGTTTTGCAGAGTCCTTTTGTTTTGTTTTTTTGGTCTCCTTTTGTCTCGCTCTGTCGCCCAGCCTGGAGTGCAGTGATGCAATCTCAGCTCACTACAACCTCCACCTCCTGAGTTTTAAAAGTTATTTATTAAAAAAAATTGTTTGTGAGATAGGGTCTTGCTCTGTCTCTTAGGCTGGAGTGCAGTGGTGTGAACACAGCTCACTGCAGCCTTTAACTTTTTTTTTTTTTTTTGAGATGGAGTTTGGCTCTCCTTGCCCAGGCTGGAGTGCAATGGCACGATCTTGGCGTACTGCAACCTCCGTCTCCCGTGTTCAAGCGAGTCTCCTGCCTTGGCTCCCTAAGTAGCTGGAATTACAGGCATGTGCCACCACATCTGGCTAATTCACTGCAGCCTTGACCTCTTGGAATCAAGCAATTCTCCAGTCTCAGCCTTCTGAGTAGCCGGGGCTATGTGTGCATACTACACACCTGACTAATTTTTTTATTTTTTGTAGAGATGGGGTATCCCTTTGTTCTCAGACTTCTTTTTCTCTTCTCTTTTTTTTTTTTTCTTGAGACAGTCTCGCTCTGTCACCTAGGCTGGAGTGCAATCATGCGATCTTGGCTCACTGCAACTTCTGCCTCCTGGGTTCAAGCACGAGCCAACATGCCTGGCTAATTTTTGTATTTTTGGTAGAGACAGGGTTTCACCATGTTGCCTAGGCTGGTCTCGAACTCCAAAATCGTCCCTATGTTGCCAAGGCTGGTCTTGAACTCCTGGGCTCAAGGGATCCTCCCGCCTCAGCCCCCTTAAGTGCTGGGATTACAGGCATGAGCTACCGTGCCTAGACTTAATTTTTTTTTTATTTTTAGAGATGGAGTTTTGCTTGTTGCCCAGGCAGGGTTTCCCTTGTTTTATAGGTGAGGCACCTGGACCTCAGGAAGCTATGGTTTGCCAAAGTTGTACCCCGAGTCATACAGCCCGCGAGCCCATTACCCTGACACTTGCTTCCACGTGGTTTGTGTGCTAACATGGAGGGAAAAGAGGAACTCAAGGAAGAGCACTGTGGAAAGAAGGAGCTTTGGAGGCAGACGAGAAGGCATTGAGGGGGCTCAGTCCTTACCTCATAGTGAGGGTGTTCAAGGGGCACTGGCTCAAACTGGGGCAGGCTTTTGCTGAACCAGGTGGTGACTGGGCGCTGCATGTTGATGGCAAATGGCTCGAAGCCTTCCTGGAGGCCACAGATGGCAAAGAACCGCAGGGAGCTCACGTCCTGGCCCAGGTTCAGGTGACCCACCTGGCCAGGTCCCAAGCTGCAGACGGGCAGGAAGCCTGGTGGGAGCGGATGGATGGGCAGGGGTGAGGGCAGGTGGGCAGGGCAGGGGGAGCCGAGGGGAGGAGGTAGGGCTGGGAGAGCTGGAGGCAGAAGGGCAGTGCAAGGTCGGGAGAGACAGAGGAAAACAAGAAAGGGCACGTGAAGGGGTCTCAGCACTCACCGTCCCCAATCTCAATCTCCCGGAAGGCTGTTTCGGAGCCCGAGTCAGACATGAGGACCTCGCCATTGAGGGTGAAGATAATGGTGTTCTCTGTGAGGTCGATCATACAGCCAACGACATCGCCCGGCTGCCAGGGGCGCCCAAATGGTTCACTACCCAAGTGCCAGCGCTGGCCCTGTGAGGAGGGCCAGAGAAGACATGGTGTGGGGAGACACACAGAGAAATGGAGAGATAAGGAAGCAGGGAGGGAGAGATATAGGAAGACAGACATTCAAAGTGTCAGGTTCAGGGCATGTGGTATGGAAGAGGGGTCACCCCACAGTGTCTCCATCTTTCCTCACATTTGCAACCATGATCACAGGAATTTTTCTCCCCACTCATCCCTTCTGCGTGGGTTCTCTGCTGTTGCCATGGCTGGCATTATGCAGACCACCAAAGTGGTAGTGGGGGGTTGGAAGCAGCAGTAAGCAGAGGGATGGAAAGGAAAAACGAACCTATCAGTGTCCCCCATACAGATCCATATATGCTTATATCTGTGCACAAAATAGATGAGTGGCTAAGGAGACAGATGGATGGATGAGAAGTTGAGTATATGACTGGACAGAAAAATGTTTGGAAAGTTGAGAATCTACCTGGGTTGATGCAGAGAAAGAAGAAAGTCTAAGTAGGTGCAAGGATAGATAAATGGATGATGGACAGATGGAGGAAGGGAAGGATGGTTGTATAAATGGTTGTTGGATGGACAGACGGTTGTTGGATGGATGGATGGACAGTTGGCTGGAAGAATGGATGGATGGTTGGTTGGACAGATGAGGGATGAATGGATGATGGATGGATGGTTGAATGGATGGATGGATGCATGGTTGGCTGGTCAGTTGGATAGACGACAGATGGATGGATGGATGGATGGATGGATGGATGGATGGATGGATGGATGAATGGATGATGGGACTATATGTGCATGCTACCTTGCATGCCTAATTTTTTTTATTTTTTGTAGAGATGGTGTCTCCCTATGTTGGCTGGATGAATGGATGGTTGGTTATCTGGATGGATGGATGGATGGATGGATGGATGGATGGATGGATGGATGATGGATGGATGGATGGATGGATGGATAGATGGATGGATGGTTGGATGGATGAATGGATGATGGATGGTTGGATGGATGGATGGATGATGGATGGTTGGATGGATGGATGATGGATGGATGATGGATGGATGATGGATGAATGGATGGATGGATGATGGATGGATAGATGGTAGGATGGATGAATGGATGATGGATGGATGATGGATGAATGGATGGATGGATGATGGATGGATGGTTGGATGGATGGATGAATGATGGATGGATGATGGATGGATGGATGGATGGATGGATGGATGGATGGATGATGGATGGATGGATGGATGGATGATGGATGGATGATGGATGGATGGATGGATGATGGATGGATGATGGATGGATGGATGGATGATGGATGGATGGTTGGATGGATGGATGGATGATGGATGGATGATGGATGGATGGATGGATGATGGATGGATGGTTGGATGGATGGATGAATGGTGGATGGATGATGGATGGATGGATATATGGATGAATTGTTGGTTGGATAGATGGATGTCTGACAGATGGATGGATGGATGAATCATGGTTGAATGGATGAATGGATGGGTGGATGAGTGGTACAGTAGATGCAGGAAGTGGGGACAGAGTGAGGCACAGACAGAGGCAGGGCCAAAGTAGACAAGCTGTGGGAGAGACCACAGGACCTGGCAGAATGATGCCTAGGGAGGTACCCACGCGGTGCCCATTGAAGACATAGGCCAGCTCATCAGCTCCCAGCTCTACATCAGGCCTCAGCTCGGGCCTCGCCCAGCCCACTCGCATCTCGCCTGTGGTGACTGCTTCAAACTCGAAGTACCAGCGGCCGCTCTGCACTGCATAGGATTTCTCTGCCCGGAAGATGCGCACCCGGTCCCAACGAGACTGGTTCTCCACCTGACCTATAAATGAGGCCAGGCAGAGTCAGAGGGGCTGGGGAGAAAGTGGATCCTAAGACATTGAGAAGTTGGTAGAAGAGACCAGGGACAGTAAGGGCTTTGGGGAACTGTTGGAAGAGGGTCAATTTCTTGGAGTTAGAGGAGAATTGGGGAACCTCAGAATAGTCAGAGAGAGGTAGGGACCTGTTGAGAGACACCTCCATCTCTGTAGCAGTCAGAGTTCTCAGAGAACAGGGATACTGGCAGAGACATAGAAGGAAAAAGTCAAGTCAGTGAACTGGTCAGAGTTATGGTCTGGGGTTAAAGGTCAAGATTAGGGTTTATTAGAATCAAGGGTTGAGGCCGGACGCGGTGGCTCAAGCCTGTAATCCCAGCACTTTGGGAGGCCGAGACGGGCGGATCACGAGGTCAGGAGATCGAGACCATCCTGGCTAACACAATGAAACCCCGTCTCTACTAAAAATACAAAAAAATTAGCCGGGCATGGTGGCGGGCGCCTGTAGTCCCAGCTACTTGGGAGGCTGAGGCAGGAGAATGGCGGGAACCCGGGAGGCGGAGCTTGCAGTGAGCCCAGATCGTGCCACTGCACTCCAGCCTGGGCGACAGAGCGAGACTCCGCCTCAAAAAAAAAAAAAAAAAAAAAAAAAAAAAAAGAATCAAGGGTTGAGACCAGGATTGGAGGGTCAGGGCCAGGGTTATGGAAGGGATGGAAACTTGGGTTGGGGCCAAGAGTTGAGAAACTGAAGGTTGGGGACCATGGCCAGGGTTTGGGGTCAAGGCTGGGATTGGAAGCCAGTGATAGGTCAGGAGTCAGGTTAGGGGTAGGGATGACAGGCTCTCTAAGCCCTTGGTTGGGTGCCTCCATGTGGTAGCTACAGTTCAGAGATTAGTGATTAGGGGTCAAAGCTAGAGGTCAGGAGTCAGAGTCAAGGGTGGGGTTGGCACTCATTGGGTTCCTAGGCTGACAGCTCTGGGTTGCAGTCAGCCCAGGCAGGGCTGGAGTCAGGTCAAGGGAAGTGGTTCCACCAGGTTCCGAGTTGGAACTGGGGTAAGGGTAAGAGTTTCAGGTAGAGGTCAGTCCTTTCTGACCTCCTGGTCAGTCTGCTCGATGTGATAGATATAGCCCATTTGGGCCGGGCGAGGTGGCTCATGCCTGTAGTCCCAGCACTTTGGGAGGCCGAAGCAGGTGGATCACGAGGTCAGGAGATCGAGATCATCCTGGCTAACACGGTGAAACCCCGTCTCTACTAAAAATACAAAAAATTAGCCGGGCATGGTGGCGGGCGCCTGTTGTCCCAGCTACTCGGGAGGCTGAGCCAGGAGAATGGCCTGAACCCAGGAGGCGGAGCTTGCAATGAGCTGAGATCTGGCCACTGCACTCCAGCCTGGGTGACAGAGCGAGACCCCGTCTCAAAAAAAAAAAAAAAAGAGATATAGCTCATTTGGCGGTTGAGTGAAGTCAGAGATCAGGGGTCGGGGCTGGGGTCAGAGCTGGGGTAGGAGTCGCGGCCAGGGCCGGGGGTGAGCACTCACTGGGCTCCTGGTCAGGAGGCTCGATGTTGTAGCCGTAACCTAGGAGGGTGCGCACGGCCTGGCAGAGGCTGTCCCGGTTGCTGCGCTTGGTGGCCTCGTCCAGGAGGCGGTAGGGCACGAGCCGTGGGTTTCGGCGCGCAGGGATGTCCTGCACCGCACTGTAGCTCCAGCCCTGGCCCACACGGTCTCGGGCCCACACGTTGTGCCCATTTTCTGCCAGACGGTCCACCAGTGTCGTCTGCGCCGGCGTCAGCCGCACGTGGCTCAGGTCCAGCGGAGCCGGCTTGTACCCATTGCTCATCATATACCTGCAGGCATGGCAGGGACTCGGTGGGACAAGGTCCTCACCTCCACTTCTGGGCTCTGCACTGTACGGGATCCCTGACTGCTGACCCTTGTCCCAGCTTTGGCGTTTCCGGCGTTTGACCTAATGTTGCAGTTCTATGAAATTTTAGAATAAACTTTGAGATCCCTGGCTTCTGAGGCTAGGATCATGGGACCCTAGCAAGGGCTTTGACATCAATGGCCTCTGGCCCCCTTTGTCTTGACTTTGGGACCGCTATCTCTAACCCTGGAACTCTCTCGGACCTCTCACCCCTAACTTTGAGGTTTTTCCTTTTTTTTTTTTTTTTTTTTTTGAGATGGAGTTTCACTCTTGTTGCCCAAGCTAGAGTGCAGTGGCATGATCTTGGCTCACTGCAACCTCCACCTCCTGGGTTCAAGCGATTCTCCTGCCTCAGCCTCCTGACTAGCGGGGATTACAGGCACACGCCACCACATCTGGCTAATTTTTGTATTTTTAGTAGAGACAGAGTTTCACTATGTTGGTCAGGCTGGTCTCGAACTCCCGATCTCAGGTGATCTGCCCACCTCAGGCTCCCAAAGGGCTGGCATTACAGGCGTGAGCGACTGTGCCCAGCTATTTGTGTTTTTTGAGGTTCTTGTCTGGTGCTGTCACCCAGGCTGGAGTGTAGTAGTGCAATCATGGCTCACTGCAGCCTCAAACTCCTGGGCTCAAGCAATTCTCCCAGCTCAAGCTCCCAAGTTGCTGGAACTACAGGCATGTCCCACCACCAAGCCCTGCTAATTTTTAAATTTTTTTGCGGAGGGGTCTCGCCAGGTTGCCCAGGCTGGTCTTGAACTGGGCTCAAGTGTTCTTCTTGCCTCAACCTCCCAAAGTGCTGGGATTACAGGTGTGAGCCACCTCATCCAGCCCACTTTGAGTTTTCTTACTCTGATCCCAGGCCTCATCACCCCCAAACCCCTGGGTTTGGAGTCCTTGACCTCTGAACTCAGGACCTGTAACTGCTCATCTATAATTTCAGGATCCCTTACTTACACAACTCCAACAACCTCCAGATTCTCACCTCTTACCATTGGCCCCTTACCCCTTACGTGGACACGTGACCTCTGCTCTCATTTTCCCTGATTCTGGGCGGATCCTGACCCTGGATCCTGGATTCACACTCTCTGTCTCTCTCTGGAGTTCCTAACTCCTCAATCCTGGACATTCCCCTCTGACCACAGAGACCTGACCCTGTGACCTTTGCCCTAACCCAAGGCTCCTTTCTCTCTAACCTCAACTTCCCCACACGATCCCTCAACCTCCCTAGCCCTTAGTACGGCATCCCCAGCCCCCAGTCCATCCCCAGACAGGACCTGGCTGCCCACACTCACGTCTTGGGGAGTTTTGTCTTCTTCAGGTTGTCCTCCGCCTTCTCATCCGCCATACCCACGTGGCAGCCCAGAGCCAGCAGAGTCCTGGGGGTGGGGGAGCCGGGGCAACAGGTCACACCCCTCGGAGCTCTCTGCTCCCATCTCCTCCCAAGGCCTCAGGATCTCCAGCTCCCTCTGCCTCTGCTGCTTCAGTGTCTGGGATGCTCTGGCCCTGTCTCTCTTGATCCTGGCCTCAGGCTTCGTGACTTCCGTCTTTCCCTGCATCTTTGTCTGTATAACTGACCATGTCTGTCTTTTCCTGTCTGCTGCTTTCTCGTGTTTCTTTCTGCATCCCTCTCTCTTTCCATCCCTGCCTTTTCTTTCTCTCTCGTTCTGCCTCTGTCTCTTTCTTGCTCTCCGTTTGCATCTTTTTTTGTTTTTTTTTTTGAAACCGAGTCTCTCTGTCGCCCAGGCTAGAGTGCAGTAGTGTGATCTCAGTTCACTGCAATCTCTGCCTCCTGGGTTCAAGCGATGCTCCTGCCTCAGCCTCCCGAGTACCTGGGATTACAGGTATGCACCACCACGCCCGGCTAATATTTGTATTTTTAGTAGAGATGCGGTTTCACCATGTTGGCCAGGCTGGTCTCAAACTCCTGACCTCAAGTGATCCACCCACCTCGGCCTCCCGAAGTGCTAGGATTACAGGTGTGAGCCACCGTGCCCGGCCACTCCCCGTTTGTTTCTGTCTCACAATCCCTGTCCCCTCCATCCTTCTCTCTCTCAGTCTCTACCTCCTGCCCCGGCTCTCCATGCCTCCCTCTCTCACTGCACCAGCGGCCGGCCCCAGCCCCCCGCTCCTCTGGGCCCTCACTTGAGCGTCTCCCCCGACATCTGCAGGTTGTAGTTCCTCTCGGGCTCTGGAAGGCTGTGGAAGTCCACAAGACACGGGTGCAGCCTCTTGTTGTCATCCCGAACCTGAAGAAAACGCGGGGTCAACTCCTCAGCCTCCCCTTTCCTCCCCACTCTCCGCATGCCCAGACCGTGACCCCTGACCTCCAACCCTAGTTGTGCCACCCTCAGTCCAAGGACCCCCGGGTGCCCTGCGGTCCTTCCCTCCTCCCCGCCGGTGAGCCGTTCTCCCTCCTGGCACCACAAGTCTAGCCGGCCTCCCGCAGGCTGCAGGCAGCACCTCACCGGGCCGTAGGTCCAGCCTTGCTCAATGCGGGTCAGTGCCCAGAGCTCGTGGATGTTCTCCGCCAGCTTCTCCCGAATGCGCTCCAGATGGGGTGGCAGGACGATCTAAGGGCAGAGGGACGTTCTTGAGATCCCCAAGGTCCCTCTACCCTCCTCCATCATGACCCCTCTTCCCAAGGACACCTGTGAGCCCTGGAAGGCTCGTCTAGCACCCCCTTTCCCGCCGTCCTGCAGCCCTGCTCCCCATCCCTCGCCTTGATTCCAGGGTTGACACTCAGATGGGTGAGGGCTTAGCATCCTCAGAATTAAGGAATTATCCGGGGCCAGCCGTGGTGGCTCACGTCTGTAATCCAAGCACTTTGGGAGGCTAAGGTGGGGGCAGATTGCCTGAGGTCAGGAGTTCAAGACCAGTCTGGGCAACATGGTGAAACCCCTTCTCTTCTAAAAATACAAATCTAAACAAATTTTTACTATTTAAAAATTGAAACAATTTTTTAAAAGGAGTGAGAGCGGTGGGGAGCTGCCCTAGAAGCTGGGAACCTCGTTGTTTAACAGATGGAGAAACGGAGCACAGAGAGGCAAAGGATTCTGTCAGGGCAAAATCGCAGTCTCAGGGAGTCCTCACCACTGCCCCTCAAAGAAAAGGTGGCTCACACCTGTGATCCCAGAACTTTGAGAGGCCGAAGCAGGAGGATCGCTCGAGTCCAGGAGTTTGAGACCAGCCTGGGCAACGTAGTGAGACCCCGTCTCTACTAAAAATTAAAAGTTAGCTGAGGTGATGACCCACGACTGTAGTCCCAGCTACTTGGGAGGTTGAGATGGGAGGGTCTCTTGAGCCCCGGGATTCAAGGCTGCAGTGAGGCATGTAGGGACATGCTTGGAGGGAAAGTGGGCCATGAGGGGCCTGGGATAGAAGATATGCCCAAAAAAATCATAGTGGATAGGACCACAGGCTTCAGAATCGGACCGCCTGGGTTCAGATCCGCTGTGTGAATTGCACAGATTACTTAGCGTTTCTGGGCTTTGCTTTCCTCAACTGTAATTTGGGGGCAATAACAGTCCTTTCTTTCTTTCTTTTTTTGAGCAGAGTCTCGCTCTGTCGCCCAGGCTGGAGTGCAAAGGTGCAATCTCGGCTCACTGCAACCTCCACCTCCCGGGTTCAAGTGATTCTCCTGCCTCAGCCTCCTGAGTAGCTGGGATTACAGGTGCACGCCACCACGCCTGGCTCATTTTTGTATTTTCAGTAGAGATGGGGTTTCACCATGTTGGCCAGGCTGGTCTTGAACTCCTGACTTCAGGTGATCTGCCCACCTCAGCCTCCCAAAATGCTGGGATTACAGGCGTGAGTCAACACACCCAGCCTCTATTTCTTTCTTTCTTTCTCTTTGTCTTTCTCTCTTTCTTTTTCTTTTCTTTCTTTCTTTCTTTCTTTTTCTTTCTTTCTCTTTCTTTCTCTCTCTCTCTCTCTTCCTTCCTTTTTTTTTTTTTTCAGGGTTATGCTCTGTTACCCAGGCTGGAGTGCAGTGGTACGGTCATAGCTCACTGCCTCACTGCAGCTTCGAATCCCCAGGCTCAAGAGACCCTCCCATCTCAGCCTCCCAAGTAGCTGGGACTATAGTCGTGGGTCATCACCTCAGCTAACTTTTAATTTTCAGTAGAGACGGGGTCTCACTATGTTGCCCAGGCTGGTCCCAAACTCCTGGACTCAAGCGATCCTCCTGTCTCGGCCTCTCAAAGTTCTGGGATCACAGGTGTGAGCCACCTTTTCTTTTCTTTTTTTGTTTTTTTTTTTGAGACGGAGTCTCGCTCTGTCGCCCAGGCTGGAGTGCAGTGGCACGATCTCGGCTCACTGCAAGCTCCGCCTCCCGGGTTCACGCCATTCTCCTGCCTCAGCCTCCCGAGTAGCTGGGACTACAGGCGCCCGCCACCTCGCCCGGCTAGTTTTTTGTATTTTTAGTAGAGACGGGGTTTCACCGTGTCAGCCAGGATGGTCTTGATCTCCTGACCTCGTGATCCGCCCGTCTCGGCCTCCCAAAGTGCTGGGATTACAGGCTTGAGCCACCGTGCCCGGCTGTGAGCCACCTTTTCTTTGAGGGGCAGTGGTGAGGACTCCCTGAGACTGCGATTCTGCACTGACAGAATCCTTTGCCTCCCTGTGCTGGGTTTCTCCATCTGTTAAACAACAACGTTCCCAGCTTCTAGGGCAGCTCCCCAACGCTCTTACCCCTTTTAAAAAATTGTTTAAATTTTTAAATATTAAAACTTTTTTTCTGTAAAGACGGGGTCTCACTTTGTTACTCAGACTAGTCTCGAAATTTTGGGCGAGTGCGAGGCCCCCATTTCGGCTTCCCAAAATGTTGGTTGTTTTTGTTTGTTTATTTGTTTGTTTTGAGATGGAGTCTCATTCTGTTTCTCAGGCTGGAGTGTAGTGGCGTGATCTTGGCTCTTTGTAACCTCTGCCTCCCAGGTTCAAGCAATTCTCTTGCCTCAGCCTCCAGAGTAGCTGGGATTACAGGCACCTGCCACCATGCTAATTTTTGTTTTTTGTTTTGTTTTGTTTTGAGATGGAGTTTCACTCTTGTTGCCCAGGCTGGAGTATAGTGGCATGATCTCGGCTCACTGCAACCTCCACCTCCCAGGTTCAAGTGACTCTCCTGCCTCAGCCTCCTGAGTAGCTGAGATTACAGGCACCCACCACCACGCCCAGCTAATTTTTTGTATTTTTAGTAGACAGTGGGTTTCACCATGTTGGCCAGGCTGGTCTTGAACTCCTGACCTCAGGTGATCCGCCTGCCTCAGCCTCCCAAAGTGCTGGGATTACAGGCATAAGCCACCATGCCTGGCCATCCAAAGTACTGGGATTATAGGCATGAACGATGGCACCCAGCCCTCTCTCTGACTCCTAAGAGACCCTGCCTCACCAGAAAACATTTGCAGGGCAGGCAGTACCTGAACGGTGTCCACAGGGCAGGGCACAAAGTCAGTGTGTGAGAGGCAGCGACTGGGGCCCACCAGGTGAGGCCCCCGGGGCCCCTCCCGTCGATACTCCTTGATGGGTTCAAGATGGAGTCGCTCTCGAGGGAGCACAGCCTCATGGCATGGGGCATAGCCAGGTGGGGGCAGGAACTTGAATTCGCCATGGCGGCCACCAAGGAGGAACCGCACCCTGGGGAAGGACAATGTGGATCATTGAGGGGAGGTATCACAGAGGGGACACTCTGTGGTCAGTGGGGGACATGGAAGCAGTCCTGGGATCAGTGGAAAGTTCTGGGGAGACCTGAGGTCACCGGGCAGTCATAGTCTCCTGGAGACCATTTAGAAATCATACAAGAAAGTCTAGAGTCAAAGGAATATCATAAGGGAATTAAGAACCAGGGAGTTCAGAGTGGGAGGGTCTGCGGTTAATCCAGAAGAGTTCAGATGACTGCAAGGTCATGGAACAGTCCTTCAGAGGAGACCCCAGGTCAACAGAGCATTCGGGGACATTGGAAGGTTTGGGGACATCAAGAAGAAGGTCACTGAGAAGTCACTGAGCATCTGTTATAATTATGAGAGAAACGTAAACACCACTGAATGGACATTCAGAGAGCTTGGGGTGATTGGGAAAGGACTGGCTTATTGAGGCAACTTTGGAATAACTGGGGTTATTTGGGAGCAGGGTCACTGGGCAAGTCTGGGTCTATTGAAAGGTCCTTGGGAGATGCTGGCATTGTTAAGAGATTATTGAGAGAGCCTGGTGTCATTGGAAGAGTCTGAGGTCATTAGGGGGTTAAGGAGGGTCTGGAGTCATTAGATCATTCTCAGATTCTGGAGTCATTGGGAGAGTCTGAGGTCATTAGGGGGTTAAGGAGGGTCTGGAGTCATGCGATCATCATCAGATTCTGGAGTCATTGGGAGAGTCTGAGGTCACTGGGGAGTCAAGGAGGGTCTGGAGTCATGCGATCATCATCAGATTCTGGAGTCATTGGGAGAGTCTGAGGTCATTAGGGGGTCAAGGAGGGTCTGGAGTCATGCGATCATCATCAGATTCTGGAGTCATTGGGAAAGTCTGAGGTCGTTGGCAGGTCACTGGAAGAATATTGGGTTGTCGAGAGACCACTGGGAGAGTCTGAGATCACTATCTCAGAGGTTACTAGAAGGACATGGGGTTAGGGAGAATCTGAGGTCATTGGAAAGAGTCTGGGGTCACGTGGAGGTCCCTGGGACCTTCAAGTAAGGGTTGTGGCCACTGGTCAGTCTTGATGGCAGACTGCAGTGTCCCGGCCTCCTGCTGGGAGGCCATGGAATGACTGGGAAGCTGTCTCGGGTCAGTCCTAGGACTGAGGACTGGCCAAGGGGCGGGGGCGAATTCTCACTTGACACCAGCCGAGAAGCTGACAACAGGGAAGAAAAGCCCGTCCAGGTTGAAGGACTCAAAGACGCCCTGCACAGGGCAGCCATTGATGCGGAAGGAGATGGACGGCACGCTGAGGTCCAGACAGCAGCTGACTACGTCTTCAGGGGCCAGGAGGTGCTGCCCTGGGGAAGTCACTGGGCGTGCCACGTGTCCTGCGTCGAAGTCACCAGAGAGGGGTCAGAGGTCACAGGTCCCACGGAACCAATGATACCAAAAGGGACAGATATTGGAGGCTCCTGTGGGGACTTGTAAACCCTAATTGAAAGTGTTCCCTTGGATGCTCCTGTAGCTCTGAAATGAAGGGCAGAGGTCAGGATTCCCCTGAAGTTAGGATTCTGAGCTGTTGGGCCAGAGATTAAATCCTCCTGGGGGCCGGATGCAATGACTCACACCTGTAATCCCAGCACTTTGGGAGGCCAAGGCGGATGGATCACTTGAGGTCAGGAATTTAAGACCGGCCTGGCCAATATGGTGAAACCCCGTCTCTACTAAAAATACAAAAATGAGTCAGGGTTGGTGGTGGGCGCCTGTAATCCCAGTGACTCGGGAGGCTGAGGCAGGAGAATCGCTTGAACCCGGGAGGCAGAGGTTGCAATGAGCCGAGATCACGCTACTGCACTCCAGCCTGGGCGACAGAGTGAGACTCCGTTTCAAAACAAATAAAATAAATAAATAAATAATCCTGGGGTCAAAAGTCAAAGATCAGAGATCACAGTAATCTGAGTGGTCTTTTGGGATATCTAGGGTCAGAGGTCACATCTACTCAGGGATCAGAGTTCTGTAGGTAACGAGGATACACGTCAGAGTTAGGAAGCTGGAAACTCTGGGGTTAGGGTCTTGGGAAATGAGGAATAAAAGGTCAAAAGTTGATCTTTTCTGGGAGTCAGGATCCTGAGAACCCCAAGGTGTATGGTCAGAGTCTTAGAAACAGTGGGGTCAATGGTCAGGGGTGAGGGTCCCCTGGCAGGGTTCAGGTACCTGTCCAGAGATGCAGTCCATCAAAGCCGTAGGAATAGAGGTCATCGCCGACCCCGTTGCCGCCCCAGCCCTCGCCGCCCCCAGGGTAGGGGCTGTAGCCCTCGGTGAGGGCCCAGCCCACCCGCAAGTGGGTGGCCTGAGCTGTCAGAAATGGAGTCACCTCGTCCACCATCACCTCAAAGTACCATTTGCTGTACTGCGTGGTGCCCTCCGCTCGGCCCACGAAGATGTTGGGCCGGATGCTGCAGGAGAGATGGGACAGGAGAGGGGGATGAGGGAGAGGCAGAGAGGAGAGCCAAGTGGTGGGAAGCGGGAGAGAGACAGACATCCAAAGACAGGGAGAGATAGGAGAGAGACAGGGAGAAAGAGATGCAGGAAGAATCGAGACAGAAACAGGCAGACAAAAAGAGAAAAGAGAGAGAGAGAGAGAGAGAGAAAGAGAGAGAAAAAGAGAGAGAGAGAGAGAGAGAGAGAGAGAAAGAGAATCAGAGGCAGAAATGGAGCCAGGAAGACAGAACAAGAGGAGTGGATGCCAGGGGTGCGTGCGGCCGCAGTGGACATTTGTGAGGACCGGGTGTTAATGCTAGGGTGGGAGATTAACGAAGGGACATCCACCTGGGTGTGGAGTCTCTAAGTCAGGGAGAGGGTTGAGAGGTTCTGAGTTCTGGGGTCAGATGTTAAGAGCCAGACCTGGTGACATAGTTGATGAGGTTTGTCTGCAGCAGAAGCTCACGGCCAGGCAGCAAGTTCTCAGTAATAAGATCTTGGTTGGAGCGTACAGCCACACCATTACACACACACAGGGAGCACAGCACGTCCAGGACCTGGAGGTCAAGGTCAGAAGTCAAAGGGTGTGCAGGCACCAGGGCAGGGTCTATGGAAGAACCCTGGGAGGGAGGGAAGCCAGGAGGAAAGGACAGCACGTCGGGATAAGATGTGACAATTTTGACTGAAAGGAGGTGGTGAAAGTGGAAGGTCAGGGATCAGAGAAAGGTCAGGGGTCAAAGAGGAAGATCTAGCAAGAGGCTGAGGGAGGGTCACATGGGTTGGGATAAGGTATCAGTAATGTAAGGAAGGAGATACGGGAGTAGTGAGGTAAGAGGTAAGAGGGCAGAGTGAAAGGACCAGTGAGAGACACAGGAATCAAGATGAAATTTTAAATCAGCAGGGGTTGCAAACTTGTGTCTTTAGGAGCCAAGTGGAAAATGTGTTAGGTTGGTGCAAAAGTAATTCCGGTTTTTGTCATTCTTTTTAATAGCAAAACTGCAATTACTTTTGCACAGACTGAATAAATGTGTGACGTGGTTAGAAATCATGCAATAAGAGCCGAGTACAGTGGCTCACGCCTGTAATCCCAGCACTGTGGGAGGCCGAGACAGGTGGATCACGAGGTCAGGAGATCGAGACCATCCTGGATAACACTGTGAAACTCCGTCTCTACTCAAAATACAAAAAATTAGCCTGGCGCGGTGGCGGGCACCTGTAGTCCCAGCTACACGGGAGGCTGAGGCAGGCGAATGGCATGAACCCGGGGGGCGGAGCTTGCAGTGAGTGGAGATCGTGCCACTGCACTCCAGCCTGGGCGACAGAGCGAGACTCCGTCTCAAAAAAAAAAAAAAGAAATCATGCAATAGGAACTTGTAGGGCTGTGGCAAACTACAGAGTGTGTGTGTGTATATATATGTATATGTATATATGTATGTATGTATATATACATATATATATGCACACAGCCCACCTAAAGGCTATAATATTTGAAAATTTTAAAAACATTTCAGCGCCACCGGCAGGGGATGGTGGCTCACACCTATAATCCCAGCACTTTGGGAGGCCAAGGCGGGTGGATCACCTGAGGTCAGGAGTTCGAGACCAGCCTGGCCAAAATGGTGAAACCCTGCCTCTACTAAAATTACAAAAATTAGTTGCACGTGGTGGCAGGCACCTGGAATCCCAGCTACTCGGGAGGCTGAGGCAGGAGAATTGCTTGAACCTGGGAGGCGGAAGTTGCAGTGAGCCGAGATCATGCCACTGCACTCCCACTCTAGCCTAGGTGACAGAGTGAGACTCCGTCTCAAAAAAAAAAAAAAAAAAAAAAACAGCCAGGCGCCTGTGGCTCACGCCTGTAATCCTAGCACTTTGGGAGGCTGAGGTGGGTGGATCACGAATCCAAGAGATCGAGACCATCCTGGCCAACATTGTGAAACCCCATCTCTACTAAAAAAAACAAATACAAAAATTAGCCGGGCGTGGTAGCATGTGCCTGTAGTCCCAGCTACTCGGGAGGCTGAGGCAGGAGAATTGTTTGAACCCAGGAGGTGGAGGTTGCAGTGAGCCAAGATCACACCACTGCACTCCAGCCTGGGAGACAGTGCGAGACTCTGTCTCAAAAACAAAAACAAAAACAAAAAACAAAAACAAAAAACATTTCAGAGATCTAACCAGGCATATCTGTGGCCCAGAATCAACTTAAGAGCCATTGTTTGAGACCCCCGTCTTGAGATGAAAGCCAGTGGGAGTGATGTTTGAGATGAGATGGAGGAGGGAAGTGAGGGAGTGAGTGGAGTTCTGGGGCCCTGGGGAGAGGTCAGCGTTCAGAGTTCAGAGAATGAGAGGTCAGGGGTGAGGGGCCAACCTTGTGGTTCCTCCCATGCTTGTCCAGGAGGGAGATGATGGACTTGATGTGATTCTCCTGGATGATGTTCAGAACCTCTGGACTCTCAATGAGGACACAGTACAGGACCTCCAGGATGCCTGTCAGGGTGCCCAGAATGAGAGGTGAAGCGGCCATGGTCATCCTCTCCCACAAGCCTCTGTCCCACTCCCTGGGGTTCTCCTACCAGATGAGGCCTCCAGCCGATCCAGCTTGCTGACCAGCCAGTCCAAGTTTGTGGAGAAGAGGGCACAGTTGCTACGATTGCCACGGATCAGAGAAGCTAAGGGGGGAAAAGGTGTCAGATCCAATAGGACTGGGGATCTGGGGTGTTCTCGGGGGAGTCAGGACTGGGACCCCCTACCCAGGAGTTCATAAAGAAGATTCACAATCTCTTTCCAGGACTCGGCTGCCTCCTCCCCTGCAAACTCGGCAAAGTGGGCAGCGGTGGTGTAGACATTTAGGCGGTCAATGCAATTCAGGACCAGGGAGAGCATCCCCTGGGATGAGGAAAATAAGAAGAGTCACAATAGGAGACCCAGTCCCTCCCTTCCTTGTCTGTCTTGGATTCACTAATTCATATTCCATCAACAACTAGTGACGGTGTGTTCCCAGATCTAAACCAGCCCCTTCGGTTTCATATTCCCAATCAGTCCCCTCGCTCTCCTCTCTTCCTTGGCTCCCCATACCTGTTCTTGTCCTCTCGGACTCTATCCCCAACATGAGATTCAGTCCATGATAATTCAGTCCCTATTAACACCAGGACTGAGTTTATGCTTCCCCTTCCTGCACTTTTCTCTCCATCCTACTCACTTCCAGGAACCCCACTCCTGGTCCTAATTGACCCAGTTCACTCTCCACACCAACCATCAGAAAGATTTTTCTCACTTTATCTTTTCTTTCTTTCTTTTTTTTTATATTTTAATCTTTTTTCTTATTTTATTGTGAATCATAATATACATACAGAAAAGTACATAAAACATATACAATCAATTCTTGTTATTCATAGTTATGTTCTATAAAGTCATTATGAACACTGAATTATCAAATACTGAACCACTGCTTCTAGGGGAAATACAGGGAGTCCCTGTGAGTCTATGACAGCATTTTCATCAACCACTTATTACGTAACCTTGTTTTGAATGTTTCTGTTTAAAGACAGTTATTTAGTATACATGGTTGAGTCATTAACATTAAATTCACAGCCAATAGTACTATCACTCGTGCCTTAAGTAAGCTTATCTAACATATATTTTCTCAGTAAGGCACATCACAGCTTTCTTGCGCTTAGGAAAGCTAGACAGCACTTCAGCACTACACTTGGGAGACATTATAAACACTGAAATCAACGAAAAGGACAAAACTGTCTGGGTGCAGTGGCTCATGCCTGTAATCCTAGCTCTTTGGGAGGCTGAGGCCAGCGCATCACCTGAGGTCAGGAGTTGGAGACGAGCCTGGCCAACATGGTGAAACCCCATCTCTACTAAAAATACAAAAATTAGCCAGGTGTGGTGGCTCACACCTGTAGTTTCAGCTACTCGGGAGGCTGAGGCAGGAGAATCATTTGAACCCGGGAGGTGGAGGTTGCAGTGAGCCAAGATCACACCACTGCACTCCAGCCTGGGTGACAGAGAGAGACTCTGTCTCAAAAAACAAAACAAAACAAAACAATTGTTGTGTCTGCATCCTGGGGCCCAGATCGGTAGTGAGAGGAGCAGTGCCTCAAAGTGGAGAGCACAACCAAAGTGGCATCACACTGACCGGCTCTGCCACTAACTAGCTGTGACTGTAGAGGACCAAAACCTCCTGTAGCTCCCAAAGCCAAAGTCCTCACCAAGGCCTGGCCCTCGTCACCTCTCTGCCCTCATCTCCTCCCACTCCCCCACCCAAGCCTCCCTGCTCCTATCACCACCTGACTGTGGAACATGCCAAACACGCTCCCACCTCGTGGCCTTTGCACATGGCTTCCTCTCTTCCTCCAGGTCACCCTGCCTGACGGCTCTGTCTTAAATTGCAAACCCCAACACTCCCTACCCCTTACCTGCTGAATTTTTCTCTTTAGCAGTTATTACCATCTAATATGCCATATAATTTACTTATTTATTTTATTGATCTCCTGTCTCTCCCTGCTGTGTCAACTCCATAAGGACAGAGATTTTTTTTCTGTTTTGTTCACAGCTGGCCTCCTCTCCCTAATGCCCAAAGATCTATTTCTGGCCCCTCACCTCCCATACCCCACCCTGGTTCTGTCCGCCCACCCCGCAGACCCCGCGCCAGCAGACCCCGCCCGCTGAGTCGGCACCCCTACCTCTGACCTCTGGCCCCACCCCTGGCCTCACCTCCCCGGGCCTCACCCTATCCCTGAGCTTCACTCAGGCCCCGCCCCTCACCTCTTTTGTTCCATCCTTCTCTCCAGGCCCCGCCCCCTTTTCGGCCATACGCCCTGTCCCTTCCCACAGGTCGTGCCCACTAGCGCAGCAGGCCCGCCCCTCCCCAAGGCACTGCCACCTCGTGTTCTCACTGGCTGGGGTTCCTGTCCGGCTCCTCCTCCTGCCCCGCCCCCTTCTCAGACCCTACTTCCCCAGGTCCCTCAGGCCCTGCCCCGCCAAGTGCCGTGGCCCCGCCCCTCAGTGGCCCCACCCCCAGTGGTCCCGCCCCTCAGTGGTCCCGCCCACTGGGCCCATAGGCCGCGCTCCGCCCTCGTCGCATCCTCACCTCCTCCTGGAAGAGACTCTGGCGGTTGCGCAGGCTTCGCAGCTTGCTCTGCTTCTCCTCATGCTGCAAGTCCTCGGAGGGCGGCTCGAAGTAGATGATGAGGTCCTGCAGGCTCAGGATAACGCCCTCGATGGGCAGCGCCGTGCCAGCCGGCGGCCCCGAGCCCCGTGGCTTCCCGCTGAAGCTGTCCAGGCTCCTATAGGGACCTCGCAGCTGTCAGCCAGGGCCGGGAGCGCTAACTGCCGCAACCTCACTCCCGCAAGACTCCCCCAGACCCACCCGTTTTACAGAGGGGGAGACTGAGACGGAGAGGGAAAAGCATTGGTCCGAGGTCACACAATGGCCAAGGGCAGAGCTGGGACTGGGACTCGATCCTGTGTAGGTAGAGGGAGGTCCCAGAACTCAGGGATGGAGAGGTCCAGGGTCCAGGCTTTGGGTGTCAGGGGTGTGAAAGTTGGGTGATGATCAGGAATGTGATCATGGTTGTCAAGGTCAGATTATGGGTCAAGTGTACAGAGGTCAGGAGTTTAGAGGTAAGGGGTCATGTGTATGTTATCGTTATTAATTTTTGAGAAGGGTCTCACTCTGTCGTTGAAGCTGGAGTATAGTGGCTCACTGCAGCCTCTGGCTCAAGCAATCCTCCCTCCTCAGCCTCCCATGTAGCTGGGACTACAGGCACGTGCCACCACACCTGGCAAATTTTTTGTAATTTCTTTATAGAGACAGGGTCTCACTATGTTGCTCAGGCTGGTCTTGAACTCCTGGGCTCAAGCGATCTGCCCGCCCCAGCCTCTCAAAGTGCTAGGATTACAGGTGTGAGCCACTGCACCCAGCATAATTTTTTTTTTTTTTTTTTTTTTGGTAGAGGCAGGGTCTGCCTACATTGCCCAGGCTGGTCTCAAGCTCCTGGGCTCAAGCGATCCTCCTGCCTTGGCCTCCCAAAGTCTTGGGATTACAGGTGTGAGCCACTGCCCTTGGCCCATGTATATGTTAGACAAGGGTGTGGGCATCAGAGGTAGAGATGAAAAAGGCCAGGTGCATGGATGCCCGGAGTCACCCGGGCAGGGAAGGCAGGTCGCTCACTTGATGAACTGGTTGTACAGGCCATTGGTGCTGTGGATCATGCGGGCAGCCTGGGACTCCTCCTGCTGGCAGCGGGTCAGTGACAGTGCGTCGTCCATGTGGCCTTCCTGGTGCAGCATGGCCTAGGAGTGGGCGGACAGACATCTGGAGTGGGCCTAGGGCCATGCGCCCAAGACCTCTGTCCAGACTTGAGTTCTGCACTTGCCCCCTCCTCCCTGCTCTGCAGAATCTCACTGCAAATTCCTTCTCATTTTTCTGTCCCCTGTCATCTGTCTCCTCCGTGTCTTTGATTCTCTCTCTCCTCTCTGTCTCTCTGTCTCTGTCTTTGGTCTTGTCTGTCTTTGTCTCTCCGTCTATCTCTCTCACCTCTGTTCCTGCCTCTCCCTCTCCATTTCTCTATCCCTATCTCCTTCCTGTCTCTGTCTCCAGGCCAGACCCTTTCCACCTGTACCTACTGCTGACTTAACATTCCCCCGACCAGAAAGCTCTAACAGCCCCCAAACTGAGCATGTTGCAGACAGAATGCCAGACCACCTTTCCACGAGGTGAGACCATCACGGCTGCCAGCTTCGCCCCGAGCTGACCTCCCCAGAACTCATCCAGTCTGTGGCTGTAAATACCATCCACCTGTTGATGATGCTCAAGTGTCCCCATTTTGGACATGGCCCAGGCCCCGTCTCTATGCCCTTGGCTCGTGTATTCAACTACAGGCCTGTTTTTGCAAACGGGTGCCTCCCCAAGGCTTCCTACTTGTCCATTCAGCAAGGCTGTAGTAAGTGGCTCTGTTCTAGGCACTGGAAGTAAAGCCTAAGATCCCTGTCCTTTTGAGCCAACACTGACTGTCCCCTAACTTGGTTGATGGCACTGATACAAGAGGTAGAAAGAAATTATTTAGGTAGAGAGTAAGGGCAACAGAGTCCTCAGCAGAGTTTCCTTTCTAATGAAAAGTAGCCCCCAAAACCATTTCTTTTCTAACAAACAGCAGCCTGAAAAATCGAGCTACAAACATAGATAAGCAAGCTAGAAGCTTGCATGGGGGAATGTGCCAGGGAACACCTGGGGCTAGGCATGTCCAACATGGAGGCCCCTTCTTCCCTTTATTTATGTATTTATGTATGTATGTATGTATTTTACCACATGTACAGTAAAGGAATGGGCAACACGGCACACCTCGGACAGAGGACCTGCTTGTACAATAAAAACGTAGGGTGAAGGCAGCCAGAAATTTGTGCCCTATGCAAATGGCACAACTGGTCCAATCAGTCTTTTGCGCCCTAGGTAAATCAGACACCACCTCCCCACCAGCTCATCTGTAAAGCCCCCTGCATTTCGCCATGGAACCCCCTGCATTTCAACCCATTTTTCTGGGACACTTCTCCGCAATACAGAGCTCCTTCTTTCGCCTATTAAACTTCCCCCTCTTAACCTCACTCTTTGTGTATCTGCGTCCTTGTTCTCTGTGGCCGTGAGACCATAAACCTCGGGTGATACTCCAGACAATGAGGCTGTTTCAGCACTTCCATCCTTCCAGTTGCTTAGGGCAAAAATCATGGCATCAACCTCAACCCCTCCCCTTCTCTCACCCCATAGCCAATCTGCCAGCAAATCCTGTTGGCTCTACCCTCAGAACCCCACGAGAATCTATGACTTTTCTCAACTCCACAGTCCCCATCCTGGTCCTGTTCACTGTCATCTCCCATTTGGAACATCACAGCAGTCTCTTCTGTGGTCTCCCTGCTCTGGCTTTGTCCCCCGACCATAGTCTGTTCCCAGAGACAGCCTAAGAACTCTGTGATCCTGCATCAGGTCACCTCCCTGCCCTGCTCAAAATCTCCCATGAGCCCATCTCACTCAGGATAAAAACTAGAACCTGGCCAGGAGCAGTGCCTCATGCTTTAATCTCAGCACTTTGGGAGGCTGAGGCAGGAGGATCACTTGAGCCCCAGGAGTTTGAGACCAGCCTGGGTAACATAGTGAGACCTCATCTGCACAAAAAACAAACAAACAAAGCTAGACCTCTCCCAAGGCCCACAAGGCCTCACACAAGTTTTTCCCATCCCCTCTCTTTTCTCACCAACCACTACTCACCTGTTGCTCACCCTGCTCCAGCCACACTGTGGCTTCTTTCTGCTACTGCAATAAGCCAAGCTCATGCTAACCTCAGGACCTTTGCACATGCTGTTCCCTCTGCCAAAAATAGTTTTCCCACTCCTTAATTGTAAAACTATGTACTACACTAAAGACAGTTTGTTCACAATTTCTGAGCATGGGGAGGGCAGGGAACAGGTCTTTACACTTCGTCTATTTTCTATACACACAACCAGAAAAACTTGGGTACTCAGTAATTGTTTGCTGACCGTTATTCACAGTCGGTGATTATCCATCTTTTCTCACTCTGTCTCTGTTTTTTGTTTTTGTTTTTGTTTTTTTTGAGATAGAGTTTCACTCTTGTCAGCCAGGCTGGAGTGCAATGGCACAATCTTGGCTCACTCCCAACCTCCACCTCCTGGGTTCAAGTGATTCTCCTGCCTCAGCCTCCTGAGTAGCTGGGATTACACTCACCTGACACCACACCTGGATAATTTTTGTATTTTTAGTAGAAACAGGATTTCACCATGTTGGCCAGGCTGGTCTCAGACAACTCCTGACCTTAGGTGATTCACTTGCCTGGGCCTCCCAACGTGCTGGGATTACAGGCGTGAGCCACCGCGCCCAGCCGTGTCTCTGTTTCTCTGTCTCTATCTTTCTCTATTTCTCTGTTTCCATGCCTCTTTTTTTTTTTTTTAGACGAGTCTCGCTCTGTCGCCAGGCTGGAGTGCAGTGGCCGGATCTCATCTCACTGCAAGCTCCGCTTCCTGGGTTCTACGCCATTCCTCCTGCCCTGAGTAGCTGGGACTACAGGCGCCCGCCACCTCGCCCGGCTAGTTTTTTGTATTTTTTAGTAGAGACGGGGTTTCACCGTGTTAGCCAGGACCGTCTCAATCTCCTGACCTCGTGATCCGCCCGTCTCGGCCTCCCAAAGTGCTGGGATTACAGGCTTGAGCCACCGTGCCCGGCCCCATGCCTCTTTATCTCTGCCTTTCCCTATCTCTGTCTATAGATTTCTGTTCTCTCTCTCTCTCTCTCTCGATATATCCCTTTGTCTTTTTTTTGCTATTTCTCTCAGTCTCAGTTTCTCTCCCAGTCTTTGTCTTTCTCTCGGTCTCATCCTCAAATTCCCAAAGGCTCAAGCACCACCCCTCAGCCTGTCACCCAGGCTGGAGTGCAGTGGTGTGATCACGGCTCACTGCAGCCTTGACCTCCTGGGCTCAAGTGATTCTCCCACCTCAGCCTCCTGAGTAGCTGGCATTACACCCACCTTCTTCTTGAGCACGCCGAGCCTCAGGGCCTTGGGGTCTGGAGCGGCATAGGTGAGCCACAGTCCTGAGGCCACATGCTGCACAAAGCACAGTGACTCCCCGTACTTGATCTCAGGGGGGCCCATGCCTTCCACATCCCGCTTGGGGGCCACATCCAGCTTCTCCTGCAGGGGCAAGGGACACAGGTCAGTCTCCTCTGCCTGTGTGTTTAGCGGGGGAGGCCCCCCTGAGGGACTGCAGAGTGCAGGCTGGGCTGAGATTAGGGGCTCCAGGTGAGGGAGGGCGCCACAAACCCCACTGACCTTGGAGATGCGGAAGCAGAAGGACGTAGCCTTGGTATGGGCCTTGCTGGCATCAACCACCACCAGGCCCTGGTCCTCGGAGAGTGCCAGGTACCGCCCGGTGGTGACATGCCGGACTCGGAGTGGCTGGCCCCAGCGTAGGTGGCTCCCACTCCAGCTGTGGAGGGTGAAGGCCAGGGGAGTCAGAGGACCCCCCAGTTCTCCCATGGACATTACAGCCTTTTCTTCTTTTTCTTTTTTTTTTTATAGATACCAGGTCTTGCTATGTTGCCCAAGCTGATCTCAAACTTCAGGGCTAAAGCAATCCTCCGCCTCGGCCTCCCAAAGTGCTGGGATTACAGGCGTGAGCCACCGCACCTGGACTGGACATTACAGTCTTGGTCCAAACCTTCTCAAGCCCCGAACCCTCTTCCAGTGTTCCTCAAACCTTTTATAGGGCCCCTAAATCTTAATTAGGACCCCTAGTCCTCCCTTAGGAACCCCAATCCTCTCTCAGGCCTTCACAGCTTCCTCAGGGCTTCCCAAATATCTTCAGTGCCCTCGTTTTTCCAGACCCCTAAATTCCCCCATTGTTTTACTCCAGACCCCCAATCTCTCCCTCGAAAACCCCCCAAACCTCCTTTTCCCAAAGGACTCCAGAGAGACTTCATTTTTTGTTTTTGTTTTGCTTGCTTGTTTTTTGGGTTTTGTTTTTTTTTTTTTTTGAGGCAGGATCTCACTCTGTTGCCCAGGCTGGAGTGCAGTGGCACGATCTCACCTCGTTGCAACCTCTGCCTCCCAGACTCAAGTGATTCTTCTGCCTCAGCCTCCCGAGAAGCTGGGATCACAGGTGTGCACCACTACCGCCTGGTTAATTTTTGTATTTTTAGTGGAGACACGGTTTCACCATGTTGGCGAGGCTGGTCTTGAACTCCTGACCTCAAATGATCCACCCGTCTCAGCTTCCCAAAGTGCTGGGATTACAGGTGTGAGGCATCGCGCTCGGCCTTTGTTTTTGTATTTTTCTGAGATGGAGTCTCGCTCTGTCGCCCAGGCTGGAGTGCAATGGTGCAATCATAGCTCACTGTAACCGCCACCTCCTGGGTTCAAGGGATTCTCCTGCCTAAGCCTCCCCAGTAGCAAGGATTACAGGTGCCCACCACCACACCAGCCTAATTTTTATATTTTTAGTAGAGACAGGGTTTCACCATGTTAGTCAGCCTGGTCTGGAACTCCCGACCTCAAGTGATTCACCTGCCTCGGCCTCCCAAAGTGCTGGAATTACAGGCATGAGCCACCGCACTTGGCTTATTTTTGGTTTTGTTTTGTTTGTTTGTTTGTTTGAGACAGGAACTTGCTCTGTCACCCAGGCTGGAGTACAGTGGCAAGGTCTCAGCTCACTGCAGCCTTGACCCCCTGGGCTCAAGTCATCCTCCCATCTCAGCCCCACAAAGTAGCTGAGACTAAAGGTGCACATCACCACACCCGGCTAATTCTTTATTTATTTATTTTTGCAGAGATCAGGGTCTCATGATGTTGCCCAGGCTGGTTTTGAACTTCCGGCCTCCAGTGATCCCCTCGCCTCAGCCTCCCAAAGTGCCGAGATGACAGGCATGAAGTGACCACGCCTGGCCAAGATTCTCCTCTCTCTCTCAGGCTGCTCTGATTTTCCCTCGAGACCCTTCAGTCTCTTTATCAGATCTTCCCTCAAGACCTTTTCTCTCCCCCCAGGCTGCCAGGAGACCCCACCTTCCCCATCCCTGGCCTCTCCCCACCTTCTCCACCCTACCTGATTCTCAGGGGCTCCAGCCTCCAGAGGGAGCGGGCGTGGGTGCACACAGCTCCCCCCTCATAGTAGACAAGTCTGGGGACAGAGGAGAGAGTGAAGTCAAGGGTTCGGCTCCCCAGAATCTGGTTTCTAATCCTGCTCATAGGGTCCCAGCCCTCCACCTCCGCCCCTAGACCCCAGGCTGTCTTGTCTGCAGGCCAGACCTGCGCTGGTCGTCACTGTCAGCAGGGGAAATGGTCAGACACTCATCCATATGTCCATGAAAGAGGCGGAGGACGTGACCTCCTGTCACGAAGCCTGGAGAGGAGCAAGGGAAGGTGGTCAATGGGAGGCTGGAGCCCCAGGAAGACCCAGGAGCCAAGATGAAGTCAGGGGCCCGGCTCCTCCCCTGGGGGAAACTGAGGGCTGGGTTTGGGATTTTGCAGTTGGAGGTCTGAGATTCAGAGTATTTTCGGGCCAAGGTTGAGGCCTGAAGTGGGGATATGAAACTTGGGGTCTGAAGCTGGGCACCTAATTTGGGGGGTCTGGGTCTGCAGAGCTGAGGTTGGGGGCGTTGTAAGTCTGTGATTTAAGGTTCTGAGTTTAGACTTTTGAGGCTGGGGTCAGAGTGCGTGTGTGGTCAAAGGTAGAGGTCTAATGTTCACTGGTATTGGAGTCTACGTTCTAGGGTTGAGGTTTGATGTCTGGGTTTAGAAGGATGATGATTGGGTCTGAGGCTGGGTTCTGGAGTAGGGCCTGAATTTTGAGGGTTTTTTGTTTCATTTTGTTTAGTTTTGTTTTTAAGACAGAGTTTTGCTCTGTTGCCCAGGCTGCAGTGCACTGGCGCAATCTTGGCTCACTGCAACCTCTGCCTCCCAGGTTCAAGCAATTCTCCTGCCTCAGCCTCCCAAGTAGCTGGAGCTACAGCCGCCTGCCACCATGCCCAGCCAACTTTTGTATTTTTAGTAGAGATGGGGTTTTGCCATGTTGGCCCAGGGTGGTCTCGAACTCCTGATCTCAGGTGATCCACCTGCCTCGGCCTCCCAAAGTGCTGAGATTACATGTGTGAGCCACCATGCTTGGTCACAAGTTTTTTTTGTTTTTTTTTTTTAGTCTTGCCCTGTTGCCCAGGTTGGAGTGCTGTGGCGTGATCTCGGCTCACTACAAGCTCCGCCTCCCAGGTTCACGCCATTCTCCTGCCTCGGCCTCCCAAGTAGCTGGGACTACAGGCGCCCGCCACCACGCCCGGCTAATTTTTTGTATTTTTAGTAGAGACAGGGTTTCACTGTGTTAGCCAGGATGGTCTTGATCTCCTGACCTCATGATCCACCCACCTCAGCCTCTCAAAGTGCTGGGATTACAGGTGTGAGCCACCAGCCTGGCCCCGGCCACAAGCTTTAAACTTGATGTTTTAAGATTTGAACCTGAGTTTAGGAGCCTTGGGGGCTAATACTTTGGGGTCTAAGTTTGGGAGCCTGATATTTAGTTTGGGGTTTGGGGGGGTCTGAGCTCTGGGGGTCTGGATTTGGGGTCAGCTGGAGATATAAGTGTGAGAGCCATAATTTGGAGATCTGGGTTTGGGGTTAGGTTCCAAGGTTCCATTTGGGTATGCCTGAAGGGCAACACTAAGGGTCTGTTTTGGGGGGATCTCTGTTTAGGGGCGGGAGGTCTGGAGACCTCACCCTCTTCGCAGCGGGAGCAGATGGGGTTCATGTTCCACAGCGTCTGCATGAAGGAAGCGTCAACCTGGAGCTCCCCGCTGGCAGTCGACAGGTGCTGGGGGCCACCAGGATGCGGCAGTCAGAGACGATTGCAGGAGTAGGCGAGAGTCCCAGCGTCAGAGGCCAGAAATCAAGGGTGGATACCCGGAAACGAGATGGGAGACAGAGTCATCAGAGATCACAGATCAGGAAATGATCAAGTTGGGCAATGGGAGGTCAGAAATCAGAAAACTGGATGCCAGGGGTCAGGAAACGGGAAATTGTGAGTCAGGACCTTGGGGGTGGGAGATCAGCCAGGCAAACCCATGGTGAGAAGATGAGGGACCATCCCATGTGCCCCCAGACCTGGGAGCAGGAGGAACCGCAATGGCTCACCAGGTAGCGTTCAGAAGAGACACTGACAAGGATGATGTCATCCCCAACACGGACCTTTTCTCCTTCAGACCTCTGCTTGGAGGCTGGGTGCGTGGTCCACCAGCAAGCCTCTCCTGCGGGTGGGGAGGGAATGGGGGTGGTTGTCAGAATGATGGCTTCTCAGAATGCTCTTCCCCAGGGCTCTCCCAGCCACTGAGCCTCCCGGGCCCTTAGCCCACAACTCTATCACTGCCACCAACTCTCTGCCCAACATTCCCCGTTCCTGACTTCAGACTCTGCCTAGCGCTCCCCAATGTGTATGTAAGTCTCCCTGTCTGGACTGTGTCGCAGACTGTCTGCTACGAAGCCCCCATTCATGTCCCCAGGGTAGTCTCATGATTGCCTCGGCGTTCTGCAGACCTTCTACCCCCTGAATCCCTGCTGCGGGGTCCCCTTCACACCCCCACCCCCTCCAGCCGCTGTACCTATTGCATCCTCCTGCAGTCCCACATCGAAGGCCAGCTTGTCAGTCATGGAGCGGGAGGTGGTGAGGCAGCTCAGATACTAGGGTTGTAGATGGAGGTCAGTCTCTTTCTAGCAGGCCCTGCAAGTCCTGGCCCCTACCCAAGCCCACCGAGGTTGCACTCACCATGCGGCTGTGTGCGTGCCGGAGTAAGATGGCATGGCCGTACAGGAGCGTCCTGTGTCCCCCGCCCTGGGATGACTGCAGGGGGAGAGAGGGAACAGAATAAGCACAGACCCCCAGACTCTCCAGATCCCCAAGAAGTTTGACCTAGTCACAGGTGACAAGATGCTCCCTGTGAAACGCCATGCTCAGGCCTGGAGGTAAAACAGCCTCAACTCAGACTCTCATAGGACTCCCTGCTTCAGTTTCCGCATTTATGGAAGCGGGGACAATGTCTCTGAGATGCCTATGGATGAAGCATTTTATATTCCCCAAGGCCCACTCTGTCCTCTCTGCTGCCTTCACCTTGGCTGGAAATCACTCAGGAAGACTCACTCAGGAGTCTTCTAGTTTCCTGGAGACCCTGAGGACAGCCCCAAGGTCTCATGTCCTGTGGACTTTGGCCCTTCTGCTCTGACCTCCCGCAACACGCTGAGCTGCAGCCCGTGTGCTCCGGGACAGGCCTAGCAGTTGTTCCATAGGTGAACATCACCCACAGTGCTAAGACAGCCGCCCCTCCCCAGTACAAGGTCCCCAACCCGGGCCTTGGGGCGGACATCTGACTGCTCGATGTCACCATGCCTCCCATCATGGCTGTCACATGCCCACGCTCCAAGCGCGCCATGGGGGCACCATGTGATGGGGCCAGGTGATCACATGGTGGACCCACTCCTGGACCAGAGGGACTCACGCTGGGGATAGGGGAGGTGGGGGAGAGGTCCCATGCGGAGACGAGCTGGGATCAGGGGTGGGGGAAAGGACTGGAACGAGGAGAAAGGAGCAGGCGTCGGGGACAGGGGCTCAGAAGCCCCCATCCCCTTCCTTCCTTCCTTCCTGTCTGGCCTGTTCTGGGCTCCACAGCCCCCGACAACTGAGGTGGGGGAGGACCCTCCAGTCCCTGTGTGCAGGGCGTGGGCCCAAGAGACGGGCCTGCCTGGGGTCAGGAGGGGTGGAAGGACAGATGACATCCAAGGCCAGACCTACCCACTTATCCAAATTGAGGGCCTGTGGGGGGCAGGGCAGAGACAGGAAGAAAAGCAGATGGTAAGCGACCCCCAGATCCTCTCACTCATCCTTGCCACCGTGCCCTAAACGACCCCCAGGTCCTCTCGCCCATCCCTGCCACCCCGCCCACCCCCAGGTGGGGTCCTCACCTCCACGCCGGCCTCCACCGTGTTGGCCAGCATCTCCTGCAGGGCTCGCACGGACAGGGACTGCTCCAGGACGAAGCAACAGATGGCCAGATCAGGGGGCACATTCTGGAGTGGGAGGGGGGATGTGAGTGAGGGGCCGGAAGACCCCCCAAGCACCATTCTCTGCCACACTCCCTCCCCTAGTCTGAATACCCACATTCCTGAGACACCAGACCCCACTCCCACCCCACAGGAAGGCCCTGCCCTCTGCCACCCCTGAATCTAGACCAACATCATGAAAACACTCTTCTGTGCCTCCTCCCTCAAACACCTCAGCCCCGCCCAGACTTCTTAGAAGCTTTCCTAACCCTAACCCTCCCCACTAACCCATGTCCCACCTGATCTCATAGGAAGCCTCAGCCCCACACCTCTGCCCTGAGACACACTGACCCCGCTCCAAGGACAGGAATCTCCTGTTCTGTGTCCTCCTCTGCAGATGACCCCACATCCCTCCAACCCCAAGGAAGCCCCACCTCCTGTCTCCACCATCAGACAGTCCTCGCTCCTGCCTTTTCCCTCAAACACCTCTGAACTCTGCTTCACAGACACAGAAGGGCGCCCAATCTTATACTCCCTCCTCAGTTCAGTCCCCCACCCTCCGACTCCTAAACTCAAGACTCTGCTCCTCAGACCCCACTCGCTCAGACTCTGAAACTTCCCCTGCATCAGATTCCACATCCCGTGGTCTGCCAGCCCCTGCCCCTCCCCCAGGTCTCCACCTTTCAGACCCCAGGCTCCTTCTACCTGTCAGCCCCCAATCTCCCCAGTCGGCCCCCTGCGGGTGTCCCCTGACCCTCCAGGCCCCTTTGCCTTGGATCCAAGGTCCTTGGCCCCTTGATTCCCCACCCTCAGAATTCCTGGGCTTGGACTCAGGAATCACCTTCCCTCAGACCCCACTATCTAAGACCCTCAAGCCCCCACCCCCGTCAGATGCCCTACACCCTCCGCATCTCAGGCCCTGTCCCATCCTCCCCTGTCCCCACCGAGGGCCCCCTTCCCCCTAAAATACCCTGTAATGATTCAGTCTTGTTACTTGAAAAAAATTTAAAAATAAAAAATAAAACATCGCAGACCCCTCCTCCTCGTCCAGGTCCTTTGCCTCGTCCCGCCCCGCCCCCGCTCCCCACCTCCCCACCCGTCCCTCAGTTTCCCTGCTCCTCCCTTCTGAGGCCCCTGTTCCCCAACCAGCCCTTCTTCTGGCCTCTCAGGCCACCTCCCCTTAAACTCGAGGCTTTCTACCCACTCAACCACCTGCCAAAGAACGTTCTGGATCAGCAGCCCCCGCCCTGGCCTACCACACCTCTGTGCACACAGGGATCCCCTCTAACACCCCAGAACCCCCACCCCTCCCCACCTCAGGTAGCCCCTCTTAGCCTCCCTCCTCACTTTCTCTCCTGTCAGCACCTCCTTTCAGACTCCCAGAACCCTCTTCTTTGGACCCCAGATTCTCTGCCCCTTCAGACCCCCGTGTCCCCAGGCCCCTCTCCCTCCTGCACAGACCTGGGCGTTGCTGGTGGGCTCCAGGAAGCACAGGCGGTTACCGAAACCCTCGGCGGCCAGGCAGAGCTTGAGCTGCTCCTTGAGCACGGTGGCGCTGCACTGCAGGACCACCTCATCATCCTGCGGAACCGAGGGGCAGGGTCTCCAGGGGCGCCTGGCCCGGATACCACAGACACTGCAGACCACGGGCCGCTCCTCCCACCCTTGTCCTTATGAAAAAGACAGTGATGAACAACATCCACCCACCCAAGCCCTCTACCTGCCCCTGACAACTCCTTGAGATACAAGCCAGTGTCATCCCATTTATTTTATTTTTTATTATTTATTTATTTATTTATTTATTTGAAACAGTCTCTGTTGCCCAGGCTGGAGCACAGTGGTGCAATCTCAGCTTGCTGCAGCCTCCACCTCCTGGGTTCAAGCGATTCTCCTGCCTCAGCCTCCCAAATAGCTGAAATTACAAGTGTGCACCACCACGCCTGGCTAATTTTTATATTTTTGGTAGAGACAGGGTTTCGCCATGTTGGCCAGGCTGCTCTTGAACTCCTGACCTCAAGTAATCATCCCATTTATTTTTATTTTTAGAGACAGGGTCTTGCTGTGTCACCCAGGCTGGAGTGAAGTGGTGTAAATTATAGCTCACTGCAACCTTGACCTCCTGGGCTCAAGCAATCCTGTTGCCTCAGCCTCCTGAGTAGCTGGGACTACAGGCATGAGCTGTTGTGCCTGGCCTATCCCCATTTTAAAATGGGGAAACTGAGGCTCAAAGTGGGACATGGATGGACCAAGGCCAACACAGTTGGTAACAGGAGGAGCTGGGATTTGAACCTGTGTCCAACTGGCTCCAGAGGCCTCCCAAGTGGGGTCTGCAAAGTGATCCACTGGAAGGTGGAAAATTGCTCAAGTTAAATTGCTTTTTAAGCTCATCTTTCTCTAAATTCTGTCTTTTGCGTGTTGTTTTAATAATAGACTGCTAGTTTATCTTATTTATAGACTGCTTTCTAATGGCACCTGAGTGCAACGTGAGAGCCTGGGTTGGATCCTGGAAGTATCATAACAGTATTGAGTCCAGGCGTGGTAGTTCCCACCTGCAATCCCAGCACTCTGGGAGGCCGAGGAGGTGGATCACTTGAGGTCAGGAGTTCAAGACCAGCCTGGCCAACACGGTGAAACCCCGTCTCTACAAAAAAATACAAAAAGTAGCGTGGTGCGGTGGTGCACGCCTGTAGTTCCAGCTACTCGGGAGTCTGAGCCAGGAGAATCGCTTGAACTCAGGAGGCAGAGGTTGCAGGGAGCTGAGATCAAGCCATTGCACTTCAGCCTAGGCGACAGAGCGAGACTCCATCTCAAAAACAAACAAACAAAACCAAAAATACCTGGGCACAGTGGTTCACGCCTGTAATCCCAGCACTTTGGAAGGCCGAGGTGGGTGGATCACCTGAGGTCAGAAGTTCGAGACCAGCCTGACCAACATGGAGAAACCCTGTCTCTACTAAAAATACAAAAAATTAGCCAGGCGTGGTGGCGTATGCCTGTAATCCCAGCTACTCGGGAGGCTGAGGCAGGAGAATCGCTTGAGCCTGGGAGGTGGAGATTGCAAAATACAAAAAACTAGCCCGCGCGTGGTGGCGGGCGCTGTAGTCTCAGCTACTTGGAGGCTGAGGCGGAGAAGGCGTAACCCGGGAGGCGCGGAGCTTGCAAATGAGCCCGGAGATCACGGCCAGCTGCAACTCCAGCCTGGGAGCACAGTGAGACTCCGTCTCAAAAAAAAAAAAAAAGGCCGGGCAGCGATGGCTCATGGCCATGGTGGATCGCCTGAGGTCAGGAGTTCGAGAACCCAGTCTGGCCAAACATGATGAAGCCCCATCTTCTACTAAAAATACCAAAAAATTAGCGCAGGCTTGTGGCAGGTGCCTGTAAACCCCAGCTACTCAGGGGCTAAAGGCAGAAAGAATTGCTTGAACGCCCAGAGGCAGGTTGCGTGGAGCTTGGCGTCCACGCCCATTGGCACTCCAACCTAGCAACAAGAGTGAACTCTGTCTTCAAAAAAAAAAAAAAAAAGCTTAATTGAGACACATAAAATAGGTAAAATGTATGTAAGGTCAATTACCTCAATAAAGTTGATTTTTTATTATGCATGTGTGAATGTACTGAGTTGTAAGAGCAGATATAAGTTAGTACTATAGCTATATATATATATTTGTTTTTTATTTTTTTTTGAGACGGAGTCTCAAGCTCTGTTTGCCCAGGGTGGAGTGCGTGGCCGGCCGATCTGCA